AAAATTAGATGTAATGAAGCCTTTGAATGGTAGTCTAACAGAGTAATCTTTAGACATCGGTTCGATTCCGGTCGAAGGCAAACACATAAAGAATCCTTATTCACAGCATGTATTTTTATTTTGTGACACAATGTCTTATTCTTGTGATAAAATTAATATCCGTATTATTATATGTTGTTTGTTTTCTAACAAAAAATTTATATACAATTACTGTAGTGCAAGTAAAGATATTATTACTGTACAAAAGTCAAGTTTTAGTACTGATAACAATGCAGAGATGGCTTAAGCTTCCTTACTGACAGAAATACTGATTTGTTGACTTTGGAGTTACAGGGATCTGTTCTTAAAATAATTGTACTTTTTGACAAAATGGAAACTAACACATTTGTGTACTCCAAAAATAATTTAATAGTCCATATATTTTACAGTGATTTTTTTCAATTAGGTTTTTTCTTTTACAGTTGTTTATTTCAAATGTTTTTCAGACTAGAGAGCTATGACCGAAACTGCAATTTTGGGAGAGAGCCAGAACTTGAAGCTGAGTTTGAAATGACACTGCCCCTAGTTGAAACTTATAGGGATGTAAATGGTGACAGTCATCTTCCTTTTTTAGCATATGAAGCTATAAATTATTACTTACAGCCTTTTCAGAAGAAACTTGGTTCAAGTTCAAAGAATCTGTACACTAGTAGGTTTTTGAAATTTTTTCGTTATTCAAAACCTAGTAACATGTGTTTCCTGAAGTCTGAGTGCTGTCTGATGTGACTTACAAAGTCGATATTGCAATTGATGACGATGGTTCTGTTGTGGAGGGGCAGTGTGAGTGTGCTGCAGGCCAGGGTCCATCAGGACATTGCAAACATATTTGTGCAGAGTTATATGCTATGCACAAGTTTTCAACAACTGGCGATGTTTTAACTGAAGAAACATGTACTCAAAGATTGCAAACATTTCATAAAAGTAAACCCTATAAAGGCAGTCCCATAAAGGCGACTGACCTTGATTTATGCAACAGTGAATTGAATGTTATATTTGACCCACGACCAGTTCAGTATCGCAAAGTGCCAAATTACCCTGACTTTTTCCGCAATGTTTTGTTGAACCACCCTAGTGTCAATACATTTCCAGTTGCTCAAATGTTTCCTCCAGCAAATCCATTTGCTGTTAATCATGATCATGATTTTCTTAAGTTATCTTTAGCTGACCAATACCTGAAATCCCAGAATATATCAGAAATATCAGATATGGACAAAACCAACCTTGAAATAATAACCTGTAAACAGTCAAAGAGCGAGGAATGGAAAACTGAACACACACAGAGAATTTCTTCTTCCAATTTTAGGAAAATTTGTTTGGTAACAGACAAAACTGATTTTCATAAACTTGCTAGATCAATGACTAAGCCTTTCGAGGACATTCAAAGTCCACCACTTAGACATGGCAGAAAATATGAAAAGGTGGCAATAAAAGCTTTTGAAAAGTCAAGTGGTTTCAAAACCTCACCATGTGGCATGTTTGTGTCAGATGTTCATCCATTTCTCGCAGCTACACCAGATTCACTTCTCGGTGATGATACTACCATTGAAGTGAAATGTCCATTTGCATCTAAAGACCGTCTAATCTCTGAGATAACTGTTCCCTATTTGAAGGTATCTGAGGGAAAACTTACCCTTGACAAAAGCAAGCCATATTTCTTTCAATTGCAAAGGCAGCTCTACTGTACTGGTAGAAAACAGTGCATTTTTATTGTATACACGATGAAGGATTTGAAATATTTTACTGTATCTCGAGATGACCATTTCATTGAATCTATGGTTGAAAAACTTGTGGCATTTATGACACCTTTTTTCAAAAAGGCACTACTTGACAAATTCTATTTCAGAGATTATGACAGGTATTCCTGGTAAATTCAGTTACTGCTGATACTCATGTGTCAATGGTCATCAGCCCTATAAACAAGAAAGACAGAATTGTAGTCTCAATGTTTAATGCTGAACATATTATATTCTGCATATATGGACATTCACAAACAAAAAGTTATGAAAAAACTTGCAGGGCTCCATTTAAGGATGATATTTCACCAGATGCATGTTGACGTGAAAAGAGTTGCATCAGACAAAACCAGGTTGAACTCTGGTCCCATACATTGATGCATTCACTTGTGTAAATAAATACAATCTCAGATGTTTATTAAGACATTTAGTACTTACTGTTACAGTACTATGTGACAATGGCAACCATCTCTTAATCACTCCAGTAGTTATAAGTTGGATAATCTAAATATCACAACGTACACACTGGTCCCATACATGGATGCATTCACTAGTCTAAATAAATACAATCTCAGATGTCAGTTCGTACTTACTGTTACAGTACTATATGACCAGGCACCTCATTATCAACTACTTGAAAGAAAAAATGGTCTTTAAAAAAAAATAACCTAAATATGTATGTGAATCATTAATTGCCTGTTTTTAAATTTGATGTGATGCTATAATCAACTGACATCATTGCTGACTGGCTAGGTTTGAGCACAACCACCAGTGGCTTAGTTAATGACATAAATCCTGCTGGGGTATCGTGCAGGAAGCAGAGGCACGGTAAGTCCCCATGATCCCCGGCTTTGGTTTCTGATGGCCTATAACCCGTGTTTTAAAACTGTATAAATGATATTGTTATGTCCAAATGTGTATGAAAAAATGTTTTTAAATATACCTTTGCATTCATGAGTAAATTGTGTATATCAACTTGGTCTCGTCGCTATATGGCTGAAATAGTATTGATGTGACATTAACTTTTAACTCCTTTTGTGACGATTGCAACCATCTGTTAAGTACTCCAGTAGTTAATAGTTGGAAGATCTAAATATAGATGAAGCTACAGTGCAATACATAATCACAATTCAGTGTCCATACTCATAAATATCATCACTGCTTGAAGCATACTCCTTCAGCTCTATATCTGAGGAATTACAACTGTCATGTGATTATTATCTGCAGCTGAACTGTTTGAGGGAATGATAAAAAAACATTGTCATTGACTTCTTTCTTGTCATGATTGCCTTTTATAACATCTGAGAGAGCTGAAGCAACAGCACTAAGATGTGCCAAATATCTGGACCGGTCTAGCTGCTGCCAGTATCATATGAAGAATACACAGCCATGGGACACAAAAAATTACAATTTGTTTCTCAGTAAACATGTATCCATTGAAAAAATAATCGATATATGATCCAGAAATATACACTTCAACTTATTCAGATTTTAAGTTCGTGAAATAAAAGTAACCAGTATTTGGGTTTAATCCAAATTGCTGCCATGGAAAACAGGAAAGGGCACCAGTTCAACTTGTGTTTGATACATGTGCAAAGTTTCATAATAACATATGAAACAGTTTCCGAATTATGCTCGGACAAGAAATGTGTCTCTCCCACTTTGTGGCAGGGGATAATGTAACAGTACGCACCAAACAATGTCAACATTCTTAAATTCATGTTACTGATGTCATAAATTTAAAACAAACTCAGTGAGTGAGATGGGTTTAACACCACATTGAACAGGAAGTTTAGCATTACATTATCATAATCTCTGATACTAACACATTTATGTTTGTACCTTGACAAAAGAGTATGATTGATTGTGGCTGCACAAATGGTAAATTTGCTTCAAACTTGCTTTTTGACCACAGATTCCCATTCTAGTCTCAACATGATACATAATCGATAACATGTTACATTCAACTTTATCCTCATGAATATTTAGCAACAATTATCTTTAATCATGTAGCAAACGCAAATAACAGGCCTTTTTGAAAGAAATTAGAAACAAATCTCCATACTCTGCGTCTGACTAACGTCCGCCTGGAATGAAAGATATTTTTAATAATTTGCTAACCAATATGATTAGCAAGTAGAGGGAACAATGCACTTTTTGAAAGAACAAAGCATGAAGCAAACCGTGGTTATTTCTGTGGCTAATTTGGTTTCTGAACTGTTAAGAGGTTCAGTAAGTATTTTGAATGTTTTTGCCAGACCAATAATACGTTCAATGTGAACTCTTTTGCTTGATATTTTCCTATCACGCATAACAGTCTTGCCAGACATACGGTTTTTCTTTGAGAAGAATGTTGGCATATTAATGGTAACATCTTTTGGTGCAAAAATATCTTGTACGTTGAAACCTTTATCGGCCATAATACTATCTCCTGGGTCACACATCACTGTCAAACCACTACGCTCTACTATTTGACGATCACTTGTGGAGCCACCATACGCAGGAGACACGATGCGCAGGAGACACATACGACACAAGACCACCTGGTGTGGATCCAACAAGTATTTTGATAGTATTTCGATTTTTATACGTTGAGTAGGTAGACTGCTGAGCTATGGGGCGTTTTGGTTTCTGGATAGGGCATTCAGTACCATCAATGATAATTCGTGTGGATGGAAATTTGGATTTGAAATCAGAAGGACAAAAATAATGCACTAAGTCTCGTTCTGGCCAGTTATCAAGCTCACTCCACTGTCTATACATAAAATTTACCCAGGTGATCCATACATTTAATACAGTTTTCTCTGAAATTCCAAAATGAAGACCAAGTTCAAAGTTAGTCTTATGTCGGCGCAGTTTCATAAGTGTTAAAAGCAATTGATTTTCCACACTGTTGTCATACTGTCAACTTTGCTGTACAAATAATTTAGGTGATATGCACACGGACCCAAACTTGCAAGTACAAAGGTGAAGTCTGTATAGTTTGACAGTCCTGTATAAAACAAAATTGCTGCAGCATTAAACATAATACTTTGTAATGAAAGCATTGGAAATTTGTCCGTCTGAGCTGATGTACTTTCATATTCAACCTCTGCACTATCTGCAGAACAAATGTTTAAGTCGGTATTCATGTCATCAAACTCAACACTGTCAATTATTTCCTCCCCAGCTACCTCACTCATATCACATTCAATATCACAATCTGTATCCATTGCTTTAAATGTCCTCTTTTGGCTCTCACGTCTTTCAATGCGGGATTTCCGTAATCCCCCATCGGCCTCAAGTGCGTTGGCTGATGCAGTCCAGGGAAAGATTGATGGTACAGCATCTGGTTTTCTCTGTTTCCTCAGAGGTGTACACCCTGGGGAAAACAGCAGTAGATTATTATTTTCCAAACAGATATTGTGCAATCTTTTTACTACCAGTTGTGAGATAGCTTTTTATGATTAGATTTAAGTTAATTTGTAGGGAAAGAAAAAATTTCTATGGGCACGATATGTTTTGTCACATTATGAACATAATAGTGATACACATCAATACATTAGAAAAGTAAACAAACATTTAAATTAAGGAAAATTATGATATAAATTAGCTGACAATTTTCGTAGATATAGTCTCAACATTACATACATCTAATGCCTGATACAGAGAAGTGTCTTCAAGTTCAACACGTACACATGACACTATTCTGACAAATACACATCAAAAGTGAACAAACATGAACCTGTATTCTTGAATCATCTGTGCCTCATCTCTGTGGAAAACAAGCACCTGCAGGAAAATGTAACATGACGCATTAAAGGCAAAAACGTCAAATATGTGTTGACATTCCTGGTAATCATCAATTCAACAAATTAAAGAAGAAAACTAAGAAGGGTTATGGTCAAACATCAACAACTTCATCAACGGGAATATAATGGTGGTAAACAGGGTTTTACCTTAATTAACTGGGTATGCACTAGACCCCTAGTAATTGATTTCAAAGGCCCTTGCATGAAATATATGAGGGTCAAACCTAAACATCACCATGATCACTGACTGGCAAAAAAATGGCTGCTATAGTAAGGCCTAAATGACACATTATTTCTATCTTGGTTTTAAAAAAACAATGAAATATACTCATAGGTTCACATTCAAACACACACAAACGTGATTACATTAGAATTAGCCAATACTCAAATTGACTCGCCTACTCTGACAGGAGGGAACTAAAATTATTGTGAAAAAAATCACACACTTCGAAGTTTTAAGAATCTTTACTCAATTTAACTCAATGACAAAATCAAACTATCTGTGAAAATAAGTGTGTCCCGCGGGACGGAACATATTCTATTTTGTCTGCGTCCATTCTTCACATTTCTGCATACTGGATACACATTTCTGAGTCACGTAAAACCCTCTTCGTAATTTCAATGCAAGAAAATAAAACAAATATAATTGGCATGCACGTTAATTAAATCTGCCAACGAATAGAAACATAACAAGTTACCCAAATATCTTACCATAACTAGTTACAGCAATGAAATCAGACGGTCTGAAGTGGGAATGACACACAACACTGTGAGGTGACAGTTTCCACATCTTGCCTTGGTTTGATTCGTCGCTCCTCCGAATAGCAATCAACCATCGTTTCAACAACATGGGTTCTCTCGGAAACGACAAACCACCTCGATTGCAGCATCCCGGGACACAGCAGCACGTCGAAGGCATCGTAAATACTTCGTTGTAGTTGTTGGTCGTGCAAATATCTATGAACCGCGTAATATACCGGAAGTACGCGCAGGACCGTAGCGTTTGGCGCCATCTTTTGGCGAAGTAGTAAAGGGGCATAACTGAGGAATGTTGGCCATACTATCACCAATGTTCTGCTCGTGCAAACGTAACCAAATCCATAAATGTCAAGTAAATGTTTAATATGAGTTGCCCAAGTAATTCTATCACATTCATCCAGCTCCTTCATTGTGAATAACATTGTCGGGGATATCTGTCATCATTCATTCTAATTGGTTTATACCAGCATTTAATAGTCTTCATATTATAATCCACGTAAACCATATCTGTGTCACATTAAATATCTCATTCAGAATATTCAGTTATTTTACAAATTGACTGAAAAATGTATCATAACGAATTCCAATAGATGTTTAATTTCACACCCCAGCTGAAAGTGATAGGATTAAAACAAAACGAAAGTCAAAGTACATTTCTTTATTTTTTGGTCTATATGTATGCTGTTATGGAAATGTTTGTTGTTACATTTGATTTATGTTTCCATAAACCGAACACAAATAAGGCCGTAGTTGCATTAATGCGCTGAACAATAAACTAATTTTGTTTGTTGTTCTTTTGTGTTAAAGATTAAAAAGACACCCTGTAAAGTCATACCTTCAACGTACTTATTTAGAAGAATTGACTTCATATGTAGCCTCAGGTACAAATATGCAAATATTTCAGTGTACACGTAATTGACACTTACGTTTGTGCGGATGTGTTACATTTATGAACATAAACGAAAAGACATAAAGACTGTTCCCTGAATACATACTGCAAGTATTGATCGATAACAATAATATATAGTTATTTAATATTTCGACAAACAGACAGCTCATAATCTCTCAATGATAGTGTTTACTTTCACAGATATAGATAGTGAAGCCTAATTCGTTGAGGTCACAAATCATAATTAATGAGGATATCATACTACATAAAAAGGAAGTAATAACGAAATGGATGGGCGTATCACACATGTGAATTAGTCCCCAGATTCAAGCATTCATGACTCATGGTGTGCCATTAATAATCAAGTGCCAGCATATATGATGAAAACTGAAATTTGATACATGTTTGTTTGACGTCATGACTTGTTTTATGTCTTTGGAGATGTGGCATTGAGACAAGACGACAGTGGTATATTGATAAATATTATTATATATTTCATCAACTTTCGTTCAACTGAAATAAAACAACCTGGATGTGTAAAACAGAATTTGAAACTTTTTCGGCAACATTAAATTACGACTATATCATGTAAGTAATGTCTTTGAAAAAACAAGTTCGTTTATGTTAATTTCATAACATGGGTAATTGTTAGACATTAATATAATTACATGCAAATTTGTTTCTAAAAAGCCTATTGTTAATATCGGACGTATGTGTTTAATTAGAATGTGTTTATTCTCTTCAATTTGTCTCTGTATTTTTCATTTTTTAAGAATAAAATATGATTAATTTTGTTATTTAAGCATTGACGTGCATGCACCGACGTTTATACAGTTTGACCCTTGCTCTATGTAAGCCCATCCTCACACAAAGTGTCAAATTGAATTCTTATCATTCTTTTATTTCACTATTTTATACCTCGAAGGATGTGTACACATCTTCAAATAGTAGGTCATGTTAACACTGGCCACCGTAAACCAACCAGCTGCATCTTGGAGAAATAGTTTCTCAAAAGAAGTGAGATGAGCGTATGTATGCTCAAAATGTTCCACAGTAACATCGTTTGTAGTTTGGTTACAACATACATTTATAAATGTAAAGGGTATTAACGTCGCTTTCCAGATTATTGTACTGAAAAAGCTACGTGCGTGCATTTATGCGTATATATATATATATATATATATATATATATATATATATATGTATATATGTGTGTGTGTGTGTGTGGCTCCTTGTACTGCTCCTGTGGCTCCTTTGGACCAATGCCGATGTCATAGAGCTAGGACACTGAGATACCATGACGGAAAGTTCACTTCGGCAATCATGTTTGCGGCTTATTTCTAAAACGGACTGAATGATTCTTTGGTTCGTGGTGACGTTTCAAATTGTTGTCTTGACAAATCAGATGTCAGTGATCTCGACTCAATCCCGGATAATCACAGAAAAACACATCTGCAGCAGAATTCAGAAACTATGAAGTGCGTTTAATGTGCATGGTGTTGAATATGTTCTATTTGACCTCAAAGACATACATGTCCCTGTGGCATTCAGGGGATAGCGGTCTGTCAAACATTATCGTGCCCTGTCAGCTTGACATGGTACGAACACCAACTTGGCGCACGTCGATGTCTGGGATTCCATTACGTGTGGCAGCTGAGGGACACAGTCCCGTCAAGTGAATTGCATGTTGTACTTCCTTTTCACATGATAATACTGTTAAAACAGGAACGTTCTGCATTATTTGTTTGTTGTTTGAATCCTCACTCAGCAATATGCCAGCTGTATGATGGATGTCTGTAAATAATCGAGTCTGGACCAGACAGTCCAGTGATTGACACAATTAGCATCGATGTACGCAATTGGGATACGATGACATGCACCAACCAAGTCAGCGTGTCTGACCACCCGATCCCATTAGACCTATTCTGACCCGGATCTTCACGACAGGCAGGCAGGCAGTACGTGTACATGGGACACACATACTGATTAATATCTTTGTTTCAGTGATGGCGATGGACCGGAGCATCTGTGACCAGGAGATAACATGTAAGATCTGTGTCCTTGACTCAATGATGTTACAGTATATTATTCATTGGTTTTGACATTCATTCGTCTGTTGAGTTCGATAGGTTCGACGGCTTTCGAGATCTAAACGAGCGTAAAACGCAGTGTCAGTCAATGTTAAAGTATAGAAGCTATGACAGGATTTGCGTTAGCGATGTTCCATGCAAGAGGTTCTTGGGTTTTCAATGTTATGTACAAGAAATATACAAGAGAGTGAGTGAATGAGTAGGGATTTACGCCACTTTTAGCAATGTTCCAGCAATATTACGGCGGGGGACACCAAAAATGGACTTCACACATTGTACCCATGTGGGGAATCGAACCCGGGCCTTCGGCGTGAAGAGCGAACGCTTTAACCACTAGGCTACCCGACTACCCCAATATATAGAAGAAGAACGCTTATGCCATTTGAAATTGATATAACGCTTCTTATAAATGTCTATGATAACTTGTAACTTTCTTTTTCTGGTTGGTAGATGGTAGTGTCTTGTGAATTAGGAAGTTAAAGTGTTATACACTTCAACAAGATGTGTTTGTATTTATTATGGACGTTTTCTTCCGACAGGCCCGACTCTGGAATGGGACTCAAGCACTGCTCATATCTATATTGACGTGTCTGAATGTGTAATCACAAACACCACCTCAGCCGCCCCTTCTCCTGACACAGGATGTCGGATACAAAATATCTATTCATGTCTGGCATCAAGGCCTTTAATGGTTAAAAACTGTCAAGCCCAGCGATGCATGTATCGCGTAAAGTTTCGGGTTTGTGTAAAGGAATTGATAGAAGATAAGAAACTTATACAAGAGATTGCCCTGACCCCCACCCCTGTAGATGCTGCCTTGAATCAACTCACTGGACTGAGTGTACGTGTTTCTACATGCCCCAACCACAAGCAGCAGCTGTGTCTCTGTGTGGGCTATAATAGCACCCTCCTCACTGATCGCCCTCTCATTCAGAACAGAGTTGGACAATCTATTGACCTACAACTGTGTTTTCTAATGGATGGGGCTAATGACAAAATATTAGTTATTGATGCCGGTGATAACACAGTGTACACCACCGTCACAGATGTTGCTTTTGACAGACCAATGTGGGTCATGATGTATGTTGGTAATCCCGCAACATCAGATGGAAGAGGAGAACTGATTACAGGCCACAACATCACAGGAACCTTCGCCAACTACAATCATTAGACTAGTTTCCACTATCCACAACAATCACACACTCCATGTAACATGCAATGTATAAAAGCACAGCTCAGTAAAATAATATGTATGCCTTTGACACATTATCAACTTGTGTACATATGTAAAAACACGTTTGATTTACATATTTAATACAAATATTAATGTAACCGTGACGATCCGGTTTAGAATCCTGCTTGCCGTAAGAGGCGACTATGCTTGTTGTAAGAGGCGACTAAAGGGATCGGGTGGTCAGGCTCGCTGACTTGGTTGGTGCATGTCATCGTATCCCAATTGCGTAGATCGATGTTCATGACAACAATCACTGGATTGTTTGGCCCAGACTCGATTATTTTCAGACCGCCGTCATATAGCTCGAATATTGCTCATTGCGACGTTAAACAACAAACAAACGAGCAAAGCAAATCCGAATGAATTTTGAAACCATAATAATGCAACACGGCTGATGTTCAGTACTTTTCCTTAGTATCTTACTGTCGCAAAACATTAAGCGGCAAAGTGGACATTATTTGAACGCAGACTAGAATAACAAAGTTAATGACTGAATATTCTCACGCTAGCATAAATTGCGTCTTACCTTCGAAGAGTGTAATGTTTTACAATCATATCAATTCTCATTTACCGATTATCGCATGCTGACCATGGCAAATACTATTTCAAGTAAACATGACACCGTGGTGTAGTTGCTGTGGCCCATTATGAATGTATACACACATTTAGGTTAACAGTACTATCCCGAGAGCAATATAGAATTGACAGCAACTATAAAAGTCCTGACAAAAAAGTCTTCGTTGAAATCATTTAAGCATTGCCATTGTCAACGTGTGGCAATAATTCATGGGAGATAACTCGTGTGGTACTACTGAGTAGGGCACCACCACATCTCTATCCCCGCTCCATATCGATACATCCTCGCCTGTAATCAACTCATTTGAACAGTCCCGTGATATTTGTTATTACCATGTTTAACTGCAATTGTAAAAAGCCCGCATTTGTGCATTTTCATTTTTTAGACATGATTATGTACTTTTTCATCTGACATCATGTTCTCTACTTCGACCAATGTTTATGATGTTCACAAAGGACTACGTCATTTAATGTCAGCGAGTTCGTTATATATAAAGCTATGTCAGTCATGTCACGTCATCTGAGTAAGTAAAATACCTCCAAGGTAAGGGCTGGACTGAAAATTATATTTTGATTAGGGTTTTTATGACTCGGGGCACGGGCTGCTCAGTCGACATAGACGGGACATAGCCAGGTGGCCGTGCTTTCCTATTTCATACTTAGATTAAGGTTCTTGGTTTATGAGTAATATTTCCGTGATTAAGGTTTTCATTCATCATTTAGCCGACGTGCTCTTATTTTAACTGAGCTATTGCTCAAAGGAACGGTAAACCTTACACACTCCAACCCAAATTACTTTGACGACACAATAATGATGGCTAACTTCACCTAGTACATCCACTCGTGAAATATGAACATGTTTTCCTCTCTGTGTGGTTATGTGGGATGGGGTGAGTTTGGTTAGGATGGGGTGAGGTTGAGGTGGGTGGGTTTGGGTTTGGGGTTGGGTATGGGGAGTTAGTCGTATTCAATGATACCTTTTCGAATGGTAGTTTTTAAGTGACTTCGCCCCTTGTATAATATCACAGGAAAGAAATCATCTGGTAAAATGATGTGGTCATGTTATTCTCTGTGGAATTATTATTCAAAGTTCTTTCCGCATTGGTTAATCAGTATCAGCAGTCATAATTTATGTTTCTATTGCCTACAATGTATGACGTGTCTGCCTTGTTTCCTTAAGACATTGGTATGAATATTTCTTGCAGAAAATAGAACCCAAGAGCCTCATAAGTATTAATGTTGTATACTTGCTGTGTAGTCGAACACTACTTACGTTAATGCTGCTGTACATAGCGCGCGCGCGTGTGTGTGTGGATTGTTCCTTATTGTGAAAGATATACACTTATTATACATTTAAGATGTCACCATCAAATGTCTTAAAGTGTTCATTTATTGTGAAGTTGTGCAAGTGTATACAGCAATTCCCAATGTTAGTATTATCTAGATATGTATATTCGTATTATGATGTTATATTAACTGGATTATGAATAAAAAAGTGAAGTGCAACATATAGGTTATGTTGCAATGTTTTGAATGGGGCTTCAAAATTGCTTGAATTTGTGTGAGAAACATCGTCATTTAAAATATAAACTTACCCTGTTTTGAAATTTGATGTAGTCCCCCTGTAGAGGAGATGCCTCTTACTTTAATTTGTAACCGAGTGCTTTACACGAACCAAGATCTATGATGTGGTTTCACATTAACCTGTTGATTTATTGGGAATGATCCTGTTGGTGCAACGTGATTGCCAATGGAACTGGAACAGCCGCAATTTAGGCTGCAGATGAGTGACACGACACGAGTGATTTGTGACCTGTCAGTTTCAAGATTTCACGGCATTCGACGCCAATATTTGAAAGAAATGTGACAGTTTTGGTTCTGACACAGAGGTTCTGTATAATTAGTGAGAAAACGCTACATTCACCATGATCTATCGTTAGTTTCGCCCTATGAATTAGTGTCCTGTGTCAACTATGTATACGCTCATAGGCTTCAAACATTCCATTGATGCACTGAGTGCATCTGCTGAAATGTCAACAGTCAAGGCTGGTGAAAAATAATCGTGTTGAAGATAATTATTTCCACCCTTGACATCCAGACTAGGCCTATTTTGGAAGATTGACCGTTGTTGCTTCAAGGTAAATATTAATGTCAATGACTTTATTGCTCTCACATATACTTTTGTGGATTTTGTACTACCACTATAGTGTGTCCACCCGTTGTAATTACTTTGCAGTAATTTGTACCGATTTGTAAACTTAGTTAATTCTATATGACAGTTGTTGATTGTATAGCATTTCTTTGCCTTTTGTTTTTGGTATGCCGTCTGTGACAGTTTAACTCAAACTGATATTTTCAACTTTAGCCAAACTATTGTTAACAAGGAGATAAGTACATATCTAAATATGCTACCAGTGACAAAGTCGAGGAACTGACGTCTTTGCACGCGGAGAAAACAATCAAGTAAAGTTCAAGGAATTGCTTCATGCATGAAGTCGCTGACGTCAAATATCGCATTTCCATGATAATACATCAAATGTTTTGAATGATTGCGGAAACCTAACTTCACACATCTGAAAGAGAATATTTTATATTGAATCTGTTTTTTTACAGTTTTATTGTATATACCTTTTTTATGATTGCAAAGATTATTCCTGTGGCTATACGGCTGAAATGTTGACGAAATGATGTTGTGTAACACAATCACTAACTGAAACAGGAACGCGGCTATTGAGATAACCTACAACGATAACATCAAACCCTATTGTAATAACTAACCTGGCCGTCTATGTGAGCATTGTCAAAACCTGTCAGTTCTCGTGTGTTTGACACATGTGCAGGGCTGTAGGTCACCAGATCCACTTTCTTACCTCTTACGAGCCGCATAGACTGCAAGTGACCAAACATAACCGGGAACTAGATGTTTTAGAATCAATGCAGAAACTGATCATTGTTTTTGCAAGGAAAGGGCATTGTTATACAGGATATATGAAGTCTACTGGTATAAGTATATTTAAGCCTCGCTTAATTGGATATGTGTTAAATGCTTCTTCAAAACCGATGTTAAACTGTTCGTGCTTGTGAATTATGTTACCTTTCTTTTGCCTCACATCATCAATACCCCACGGGCTTGACAGCACTGCATTCTTCTATATGAAGCAATGTCAACACACATCGTTCTTTACTATAAGGTAGCAATATAGTGTAAAGACGGAATATATAAATATTTAAAAGCACAAATATATTGGCATACAAATATATATAACTATAAATAATAAATACACATATATATTTGTGTTAGTTTTAAGCCACACACAAACCTACAAACATATGAGGCTATGACAATGCGAGCATGTTATTGATTTTGCCATGTAACCTGCCAAACATAGCACTGACCAAAGATAATAGAACTTCAGGACAGAAGACGGATCCTTGTCAGACATTGAAGGCTTTTTTAGCAATGGTTTTAAACTCACTAACGAGGCCGTAGAGTCAACTAAACAACTGCTAAACAAGGTAACGTCTTCTTTGGACAACCACACAGCAGATGAGGAGTAGAGCTGACCGGACAGAAGATCTACAAGTTACGACATCATCGGCTTCTTCTTTCAAAAGGATGTTGCAGGAGTCTCACATTGAGAAACAATATACGAGGACAGGCGTAGGCTTTGTACCTGCCAACCTGACCCACCTTTCCTCCGCAATCCAGGGAGCAGGACTGATAAGGTCAGTCACGTACTTCCCAACACAGAGGCCGGGATATGTACCAGGGGCTGACAGATACATTGCCATCACACTGACACCTGCAGAATTTCAAAAGGGTAAATTAATTTTTATTATGTACATGTATGTAAAAATATCTATAAAATGTTATTGTCGACATGAGGTAGCTGTGGTTCGACAGTTTGTGATGACTACTGTCCCACGTCTGCTTATAATGACTTAAGTTTATAACTAAATGTAAACGGTTGGATATATTCATTATTATAGTGTGTTTGGGTATGTTGTAGTGAAACTAACATTTAGTTTTAAATAGATAAAGGTATATCATAATCTTTAGTTCGACAGTTGGTCTATTTCATTTCTTAGTTACATTGTAATCTGTTTAAGTCGCTGATGTGGACAAGACGATTTCCAGTGGAGATGAAGCCATTTCATGTGAGATGTCATGTATTTAAGCTCCAACTTATCTTACTCATGTGCCCATCAACATAAGGGGCACCGCTTGACCTGTGATGTAAGGCTCCTGTGCGGATTTCCGTAGACGGTTATGCCAAAGTCTGTAGATGATTGGTTTGAATCAAAATTGAACCTTGACTATGACTCTTTGTTTGTCTACATCATACGCATCCTCATCGGTTTCACAAGCACCAGATGCTTGCCGTAAGAGGCGACTAACGAGATCGGGTAGTCAGGCTCGCTGACTTGTTTTCTGTTTGTCATAATATCCCAATTGCGCAGATCGATGCTGGTCCAAACGCGAATATTTACAGACCGCCTTCATATAACTGGCGGCGTTAAATAACAAACAGACAAAAAATCCCAAGCTACAGATAGTCGTGGAAGTTCGATGGATAGATGAAGGACATTAAAAAAAACCCATATAACTGTTCATATGATTTGCTTTGTCTTGTACTATATATTTCGTTGAAATGAAATGTCACTTTTTTTACTTGAAGGAATAATACATGGGAGGTGGAAAATACATATTTCGTCTTGTATCATTTTAATAAAAACATTCTCAGTTATGAGGCGACTGTCAACTTGAATGGGTGTTATGTTATACTGATTCAATAATGTGTATTTGTGAATGAGACTTACAATGAATGTGTTTTGTGTTATTAGTTCGTCTCTTGTTTCCTCCCTAGGTCCGCACCTTGAATGGCACTGCAGTACAGCGAGTGACGACATCACTGTATCTGATACTTTGGTAACAAATGAAAAGCCCAAGACTCCGCCCAAAGACATAGAATGTCGAAAAAGGTCGTGGAGACGTCTGTTGACATCAAGACCTTTGGTTATCAGAGGTGGAAGCCGAGAGATGTTTCTGGTGAAAGTCAGCTTCTCTTTGAAAAAAGGGTCACTGAGAAAAGAAGCATGGTGTTTGAGACAGCAATGATTGCCAACCCTGCAGATACTTGCTGGAACCAATCAACTGGACTGAGTGTACGTATCATAGGATGTCCAAAGCATAAGCACCAGCTTTGTCTCTGGGTGAGGTTTGATGGCAAACTCCTCTCTGATATACCTATTGTTTGCAATCAAATTGGTAAGGCAGGTGCCTTACATCTAGACACTCTACTGGGCGGTAGGAGCAGTAAGATTTATGTTGTTGACATTGGCAACACTACAGTGATTCAGTCTGTGACTGACACTGTGTGTGAAAGAACATTCTGTGTCATGGTGTATCTAGATGCATCCCAAGATTCAAACATGACGTGTGAACTAATATCAGGTCAAAACCTTACACTATCAGAAGGAATGACCCAGTTGTTATCTCTGAAGGGAAATGACTAGACGGTGAATAAACGCGTAAAACATCATCAGAGGGGATGGTCTCCAGGACCCGACGTCCATAGTGAAAGAATAAAGAGTTCGTGATCATTCCTCCCGTACAGATCTCAGCGACCATTGTGTGCATCCCATCCTTCCTTGCTCACCCGAAAGGCTCGAACCATATTGTATGTCTTAAATTCAACTCTACTATTTTTTATGTCCGATGTGGAAGGACACGTGAAGAAAATGATGGCGATGTAATTCCTTGTTTTAACTTTTCTTTATGTTCCCGCGTTTGTGCAGGTGAACTCTTGAATTACTTTTGCATGTGTTTGTGACGGGTGCCACTGGTGGACCTGGATGCTCTTACCTTACGTGTACACTTCGTATCATCACTAAGTGATGGTGATTCATAGACACCTGCTCATGATATAGTCGGAATCGTACAACAGACTTTGCCTTTAAGCAGAGATTTCTTTTGATTCTGTAAAGGCTTTTGTCGCTAAATACGCAATGCTGATATTTCTTAATATATCTTTACAGTACTGCTAGATTGATTCTTTAATTTTAAGAGTGAGTGAGTGAGTATGGTTTTAAGCCGCTTTTAGCAATATTCCAGCAATATCATAGCGGGGGACACCAGAAATGGGTTTCACACATTGTACCCATAGCGGGAATCGAACCCGGGTCTTCGGCGTGACGAGCGAACGCTTCAACCACAAGGCTACCCGACCACCTCCTTTAACATCATTATCAGTGTTTCACATGAGAATATTTATAGGCATTTGCAAATGATTTAGAGATTATCCTACGGCACACGTTTCTTTTTGTGAAATATCACGGTTTCCGTGTATCACATGGATATATAAGCTCAGTCAAAATATCTCGGAACGACGCTACATAAAACTGTGTCTGACCACTATCACAATGCATGACATCATATTTAACTATTTGCAACTATTCTTGATATGAAGTGACGTTGCTATGTGCGGCATGTAGCATAATAGGACATTTGGTGTGAGTTCCGAGTTGGTTATTCTTCATATTACCCGAGAGACACTGCAACCCGCATGCACTCTACTTGACTCTTTTTGCTCTGTCAGTAACCAGCAGGGATTGAGGTTTAACGCCGCTTTGAGCAATATTTCAGCAATATCACGGCAGGGGACACCAGAAATGGGCTTCACACATTGTACCCATGTCGGGAATCGAACCCGGGCCTGCAGCGTGATGAGCGATCGCTTTAACTACGAGGCTACCCCACCGCCCAAGCACTGGGGAGATGTAGATTCTGTATACTTACCACGATGTCACCGTGACATGTGGAATTTGGCATATATGTATCTATGTCATTCTACTATGTGTTTCACAGTAGTCATTTTGTTCTTAAGCGTGTCCTTTGTCACAATCATCGACCGGAGCAGAAAATCCAGTATTGCCTACATCACCTAGTGTAGTTCAGTACACAAGTTCCCTGTGTGTAAGAACACGTAATCAGAAAAGAACGTCCACACATATGTTGTTTACATATTCGTATTTTGTCGTTATGTTGATGGGCGATAATAGGGCCCAATTGTCATTATTCTAAGCAAACATAACCCTGATCATGAAAAGGGTAATTTTAACGAAATGCTGAGAATATAATACGTACGGCCAAAGTACAGAACTGAATTAAACACAAATACACACCTTCATAAACGGATTAACTATAAGTCTTGATGTCAGTAAACTTGCCATTGTCAATTCCTCTTGATTTCTTCCATGACGCCTTGACAGTTGAGAACAGTTCTTCGCTGTGGACTTTACAGGTTGGAATGCCGCATGCGACAAACGCTGTTCGTCAAACTGTGCTCTAGGTAAATGATATGGAGAAAAAGAAGTCCCATCATTGAAAGATATGGATAGATATGATAGATTCAGATTAATAGGTTTGAACGTGTTCCTCGAACTCAGTATGATATTCAACATTACCAATGACATTGGGCTAAGGTAGATATACAAAACCTAAAGTTCAATTATTGCAAATCGCAAATATATGTCCTCTTCTTGAACACCAATTTCGATTAACTACACCAATTAACTAAAAAAATACAAACAAAGATTGATCAACCAAGACAGATATGACATATTCAGATTATACAGTTTTTGATTTAACTCACTGTGATATTTAGAGGTTATAATATGGCAGTTTTCATATCAAACCCCAACCCTGGGGGGTCGAGGATTGATATGGCCTTTTTATCATATACCATGGCATAACATTGTAAAATGTATCTGTTTGCCAGTGAATGCAATACATTATATTACTGTCAACAAACGAGCAGGCGACGCACTAAGGGACATAAGTCGGGCTGATTTCGATCGTTATATCAGCACGGCCGGGTTATTACACCCCTGTATGCCAATATGGAGATGGTCATATCACAGGGGGGTATCACAATAACCAGACCCGTGTTACACCCCTGCAGGGCTGTTATGCCTTGTCAGTGCACTTAGAATGAGCTATTGATATCAACCCGATTGGAGTTGGTGCGTCGTCTGCTCGGCTAATATTCCCATGACAGCGTCTTCTCAACAAGGTGAAAATGTTATGGATCTTTATGAATGGATACATTATTTTATGGTATATGATAAAAAGGTTATTGTATCATATATATCGACCACCATTCATTGGCCCTCGGGATGGCATGGGGGTCTCGGTTTGATATGAGGTGTTACATGAAAAATGCCATGTAAAAACTCGAGTTTCCACTGACACTGGTAATATGAATTCATTTATCAATTTGCTGCAGCTGTGCGCATATTCGACTACAAGAGTTTTTGTTTTGTCTGTGCATATACGTGCCTGGTTGCATCCACGCCACACCACAAGGTGTGTTTACAGCTGACCTATTTACCATTGTATGAGACTGCACACACCATACGAGGTAGTCATGTCTTTCAAGTTGTTATAATAACCAAAGTAGCAACTGCGCGTGTGCAGAAAGGCTTAGGTGGAGTGGTGTCTGTGTACGTGTATGTAGACGCCTTCTGTACATCTCTCTGTGTCATTTCTCTTAATTAAGGTAAGAAAGTTAATCAGTCTGTTGTTTATGACGTGTTGCTGTGTCAGGATCACAGAACGTATGTAATGCAGCAGCGTTTATGTTGGAGTAGTGATTATATAAAGTTGATGTGAATGTCGAGTTACTTCCTGCTTGTTTTCAACATCTGAATGATATAGGTCGCGTAACATTTGTTACTCAATGACAGACGCAAGAAGCATGAAATGTCGCTGTACCCATTTTTATACAGAATATAAAATTAAGGTTACATATGTTTCACAATGTCACTTGATGAGTGTTGTTAGTGCTGCCTGTCCATGTTGATGGCAACTGTCACCGGGTCGTAAAACCAGTCTGGTCACATTCTTGAGATTTACTGCGTCGTCACCGTTCGACAAACAGCTTCCCTTTCCCTAATATGCCCGGTGTCGCCACCCTTTAATATTGACAGTAGCGGTTGACTTCGCCAAGGTGAACACTACCAAGCTTACTGTCGTTCATTTCCCGACGAACGTCAGTATGTCACATGATTACGTTGTCAATCGCGCGGAGACATACAGAACTACTTTAGGGGAATTCCTCAATGTAAAAAAATAACATTAAAAAATAATTAGGGAAAACTGAGAGCAACATCGATTGAATGATCACGGAATTTGCTTTATCTTCATCAGCTGATCAACGTCAACAAATACAACTTCAATCCTTAAGTTAAGTCGGGCGGATGCCATACTCCGGTGTCTTTACGTTCATTGTCAGGGAATCAGTGACCTGTAAATTTTAATTTCTAGTGGTTTAAATCGCATACTTCTATCATCCGCCGGAGTTTGCCGAGAGGTGACGACGCAAAGGGCAATTAAGAGAGAGGTGAATGTTACGTTCACTAGACCGTGACTAGACTGGTTTTAAGACCCGTTGACATCAACACACGGATATAACAAATCTTTCTGACATTTTGATAAACCACATGATGGGAACATTCAGTGAAGCTTCTTTTTCAAATTTAAGCATTTGTGTAAGACCTGCCCACTTGGTTAAGTACACACTACTTCACTATACGACATGCTGTATGTAAGCAGTGTACTGCCCTACCTTTCTATGGCATGGAGTATTTCTTTTATGAAAGGAGCTTCTGTGCATGAACATTCATTGAGTACACTCAAACTCATATATGTACGAGTTCATGCCACCGAACAGTATTCCATTTATATCACGACGTGTCTGCTTAATGTGGGAGGAAACCCACGAACACGGGTATGTTGCTGGCATACCTAAAAACATAATCAGGGCGAAGCGGGATTCGAAAAAAACGATCATGACTAAGGGACACAACTGTGTACAGTGAAAACCGGTGCCTTAGACGACTGGGCCACCCGTGTCCTCCATACATGTACTTGTGGTTCGACCTTTGCTATTGTTATTCCCGAGGTGATATGGGACACAGGCTGCTCAGCTCTCCACATTGCTGAAACCAGGATCGGCGGTTCGAATCCAATATTTGCTCCTGTTTTGATTCTAAGTTTGTCAGCACCCCTTTCATGCACGTGAGTTTCTCTATTGGGTACGTTACTTCGAGCTTTCCTCCCAAATTAAGCTGACATGTCGGTAAATACTTGAACTACAGTGAGCAGAGTAAGCCAAACATCACTCTCACATGGGTTAAAATAATACATCGCTTTACACATAGCAAAAGTGATATACCCGAAAGAGAAACATGTATATGAGGAGGGGAATTCTGAATCCTAGTCTGTAACATTCGTGTGAAGTGATGAGATGCGTATGTGTAGGTGGGAGTCTACATGTATGCTTCGGGAAATTGATCACATATATAAGCACTGTCTCACGACACTTTCAAATTCATAATATATGTTGAAATCCATCACAATGAAAGAAATTGATTCCATTTAATTTAACATGGTCGTGATGATTGTCTTTTGCCAGACATCATGTCGGATCTTGTCTCAGTTGCTGCGATCAAGGATCTTCTGACAGAGTGCCCAATATGTATAGAACACTTTGATGACGCAACACGAATTCCTCGTCGTATGCCATGTTGCGTACAGTCCATATGTCAGCCCTGTCTGGAAAGCTACAGTGGAGGTGCTGCAACCCTATCCTGCCCCATGTGTCGACGGCGACATAATCTGCCTGGTGGGGTGAAATCTCTGCCCAAAGAGACTGTCATCCTGAAGACTCTGGACTACCTCAAGATCCAGAAAGGTCTCCATCTGCCATGTACAGATTGCCCTGACAAGGAAATAGCTGTAGCTCAGTGTGACAACTGTGGAACATTTTTATGTTCCATTTGCTTAAGTGCCCATAAACGGAATACGGTATCAAAGACCCACACTATAAATACATTTGATGAAATGAAGGGCCGACCTCTACAGAGTTTTCGTCGTCTACATCAGTGTAGTCAGCACCAACAACCTGTACAGTTCTACTGCTACACTTGTGACAAAGTCGTCTGTGTGTCCTGCACTGTAGTAGATCACAAAGAAGGGAAGGGACACAACGTCGTGTCCGTGAATGAAGCACACCAAGGAAAGGCGAAGTCCATAAATGATGTTTTAGGAAAGATAGAAGAGAAGACAAAGAGACTGAGCGAAACGGAGTCAGCCCTTCAAAAGAAGATAGAGAACATCAAATTGTCAATGAAGGTAGCAAGAGATGATATCAATAAAATCTTTGACAACCTGAAGGATAGGCTGAATCAAAGAAGAACAATCCTTCTATCAGATGTTGAGGGGAAATCTGCTGAGAATCTGAAGGTTACAGAGGAGGCCTTGGATTCGACAAGACTACTGCTGACTAAAGTGAAATCTTCTTCCGAATACATGCGACAGATGCGCAACAAAGCTGACAAGGTAGAAGATCTTCAAGTAATGGGATCATCTAAGGCATCTTTGAACTCCATGTTGAAGGAGTCACCACAGGAAATACCCTTTGACAGGACTGGAGTCAGCTTTGTTCAAGCAAACGTACAACATCTGCAGAATACTATCAATGTGGCAGGAATGGTCAGATCAGTCACGTTCTCCCCAACAGAGAGGCCGAATGGTATCCCAGATACTGCAGTACACAACGTCATCACACTGGAACCTGCAGAGTTCCCTACAGGTAGGTAGTAAACTATTACATATTGTTCATCTATTTATCATGTGTGCAGCTACCTCCTATGTATTGAATCCTAGAAGGGACACTGTCGCGTTGTCAGATTGTCGCCCTTACAACAATATAGTTCATATATCGTTATTGTCTGTGTCGTTTTTCATAAACCAAATGTGTCTTCACAGCAAGAAACAACGTTGCTATTTCTATTCAATTTAATTCTGGTCTCAGAACGGCCCTGTCGTTTGCGTCTTTTACAAATGTGAGTGAGTGAATGCGTAAGGTTTTACGTTGCTTTTAGCAATATTCCAGCAATATCACGGCGGGGGGACACCAAAAATGGGCTTCATACATTGTACCCATGTCGGGAATCGAACCCGGGCCTTCAGCGTGACGAGCGAACCCTTCAGCCACGAGTCTACCCGACTGCCCCCTTACAAATGTAGAAGTACCAAAAAACTGTGATCGTGGAATTGAACCCCAGAACCATACACTCAGGGATTTCCTGACACGCTGTAAAATAACTGTAATTTAGTTCAAAGCGGCGTTAAACCACAGGTCACGTTAGTCACGGGGAGTCCTTGGATGGGTGACTGTGTTCGGCTGCTTGGCTCCTTAGAGTTTCTAGGGCTTCGGTCCTGCCCAACGCTGAAGCACATGCACATGTGGTGCCTCTTTGGGCAAGGAAATTCTTCTCACTTTATCAGCTTGTCGTCATGATATTTGATAACTGGTCATCATGTAACTTGTGTGATATCTTGACAGCGTAAATTGTAAGTTATTCTTTATGATGTTACTACTTCGAAGACATTGAATATGTATACTGAAAGGCAAAAGAAACGTCACTTCTGAAAATACTGATAAAACTTAACAGACACTGGCAGTGACATGTTCTGTGGTCAATAAACTCATTTATCGTTCTACTGCTTCTTTTTGTTGCCTTAAAGTCCATTTAACAATTGAGTGTAAAATGGAGTGCTTTGCCCAAACGCAGCCTACAAAAGTGCAATGGGACTCAGTTGCGGAAAATTCTTGTCAAAAACATGATGCACGTGCATATCGTGGATGGTATGGGTATAAAAGAAAATCAAAACTGGCTTTCGTTATTTCGATTAATCAGCTATGCCAAGATTATCAGGAAATGAGAGGCAACAAGCGATCGGAAGACTGCAAGCAGGCCAGAGTGCACAGATCGTTGCACATGCATTCAATGTCAACGTCAGAACGATATATCGTTTGCAACATCGCCAAAACATCACCACCGACGACCGACGACCGACCGCGTAGTGGTCGTCCTTGAGTCACTATTCCCAGAGAAGATACGCCAAAATCTGCAGAATCGATTCCGAAAGGCCACTGAAACAGCTCGGCAAACCTTTGGCAACCACCAGCGTGCCATCAGTGATCGTACAGTCCGGCGTCATCTAACTGCCAACAACATCTCGTGCCACCGTCCTGCTCGTGTACCCATCCTGAGAGATCGTCACCGACAGGCCCGACTGCATTGGGCCAGGCAGCATCAAAATTGGCGTCAACAGCAATGGAGAAGAATCATCTTCACTAATGAAAGTCGCTACTGTGTTTCAACGGTGGATGGCAGAGTCAGGGTCTGGCGAAAGAGGGGCTAACGTTATGCTGATGCTTGTGTTATGGAACGAGACCCGCGGGGCGGCCCAAGCATCATGGTTTGGGTGGAATCGGACAGAACTTTTTTTGCCCGTCATCAAAACCACACCTTTCAGCGAGACAACGTCCGTCCCCACACTTCCAGAGTCACCAGGGACTTCCTCCAGCAGCACAACATCCAAATCATGCCTTGGCCTGCCCTCAGTCCGGATTAGAATCCCATTGAACTCTTGTGGGATGAGATCCAACGCCGACCCAACGACGTACGCCTAAGGCCGTCAACTGCAGCAGAACTGCGGGTAGCGTTCCTGAGGATATGGGCCCATATCCCCATATTAATGGCCTTCATCAACAGGCTAGTCCACTGCATGTACAAGAGAAGTGTGGCTATAGTCAACGCCCGTGGTGGCCACACCAGGTACTGATTTTGAACCCCCCGGCTATGATGTCTTTTGTTGCCTCCCCAAATTCACAATTCGCAAAAACCTTCCCCAGACTGTGGGTCAAACACTGACTTTCTCCGACGAGATCATCGGCCCTGTTGTTCTACCGCTTTTGCGTCGTCATGGCCCAGGCATTACCTTTCCTCGTGACAAGGCCCGGCCTCAAATTGCTCGACTTGTTCGATATTCTGTTCAACAAAACAACGTGTATGTCATCCCCTGGATCGGCGCCTTCAACGTCAACCACGTGTTCCACAGACGCTCCAGGAACATATTCCAGCAAACATGGACAGATATCCCACAGGACTTCCAAGAGACAAAGATGTGTTGCTTGCATCGCCACCAGAGGTGGACACACACGCTATTGATGTGTAAGTTGACATTTTGGCATGTTCATGGTTTTTTTTATGAAATCACGCATTTTCTGAAGTCAGTATGGCAAATTAAACCATTTGAATTCTTACAGGAGTCTTTTATCTGTTGGAAACCGAAATTGTTTCAGATTTGGTAAAAAACATAACTTTGCATTAAATCTTATTCAATTGAAGGGAGCACGGGTGGCCCAGTCGTCTAAGGAGCCGCGATTCGCTGTGCAGAGTTGTGGGTTCGAAACCCGGTTCGCCCCGATTATGTTTCTTGGTTTGTCAGCACCATACCCGTGCTCGTTGGTTTCACCGAAGACCTGCATCACATCGGGCTTTCCTCCCACATGAAGCTGACACGCCGTGATATAACTGGAACTGTTAAATGCGGCGTAAAACACAACTCACTCACTATTCAATGTCACAAGATCTTTTGTTATTCAGTATAACTCCACAAGACTGTTTCACAACGGGGGTGATTCCAACTTTCCAACTTTCCAAAAGTGAACTTCCCCTTTGTGAAGAGCAGTATTCCAACACCGACGTTTCAGCATTTTAAGGTTACACTGGTGGATGTTCTTTCTCCATATTCCATATCCAATGGCAAACATTCCTGGAGTTGCGCCCCCTTGCCCGCTTGGCGGCGCTGCGGTAGTTACGGTCCAACATTCATCGTAGTATCCGCGGGAATATATAAACTTCAGTCGACATTGACCCACTTGCTTTTCTGTAAACAGCCGGTAGTACTTGAAGGCCTATTTCTATCATGAATTACGGAAGCTGGAAGTTGCCCAAACTGAAGACTGAGCCCAAAGCACGAGGTGCTCGAGTGTCAGGAAGAAAAATCGATCTGATAGAACGGTAAGTTTCTGATATTGCTATTTCTCGGCTTTTCTTACTGAGCAGTTATTTTATAAGATTGTAACAGTAACTATTCCCCATTTTGTCACTTTACACAGTGCAATATTGGTATCATGGTCATTGGTAGAACATATGTTTAGTTTAGACAACTGAGATCTCTAAACAAATAACGTAAGCACCGACGCGATAATGCCGACAACATAAGTGCTTCAGTTTTCGTTCACGTAAACAACATGCCCCCATTGCTAAGGACGCTTTGAGATGCACTGACAAGGGAAAGAGCGGTGACCACGGATCTTGTACGGAAGGTAAGTGTCAGTCACAATAATTTATTCTTCGAATTAATGACTCACTGGCAGTGTGCAAAATATTACACCCTTTTACATGCGGTTGGGATAACTTCCGGTTTATAGATTCTATAATTATTTGGGCAATCATTCAATAATACATCGTTCTTCGATACGAAAATACATAGTAAATTTAAGCAGAGATAGTATCTTGGAAGCGCTCTAAGGACTGCATCGCGTTTAACTCACCAACCCCCACACAATCAATGTAACATTTTCTCCTATCTCCCCCACCTCCCAATAAATGACAAGTCCCCAAAAATGTATCTTAAATAATCATAATGCCCCCGTCCCTTTCTTCGTTGCTATACACATATTTTGAATTTTGATTCATCTGTGGCCAAAACATGATGTAACAAAGCGTGAGGTAGGTACTGAAATATTTGTAAAACATTAAAAATTGCTTGAGCTCTGCACCATCCGATGGCTGAAGAAAGGCTGAGGGTTATCAAGTTCATCGTCCTTTACAGTGAGTGCCTTTTAGATTTTCATATAGTTTTATTCATTTTAGCAAGTGTGATTGGTTCACACATTTATTATTTCCTCAGTGTGAAAGGTACACACATCTATTATTAAAGCCAGAAGTTTAAAAGGTTCACACATTTATTAGGGCTGAAACGATACATTGGTGCACTGGTGCATCAAGTTTTCATGCATGATACACAGTACTTTTTTACACTTGCTAAATTAAGTTTCTTACTACTTGTTTTATGACACCCAAGTGTCAGTCAAGTACTGCAAATATGATGTAATTAGCATTTCAAATTCACTACTAGAAATTTACTTTTGAACCTGCTCTGAAATATTTAGTCAAGAAGTTTCAACACAATTTGACATAAAAATGTGACCTTATGTACTGTGATGTGACCTCCCTGTACGTATCGTTTCACCTAGAACATTTATTTCATCCTCAAGTGTGAAAGGTTCACACATTTTTTATTTCATCCACAGGTGTGAAAGGTTCACACATTTATTATTTCATCCACAGGTGTGAAAGGTTCACACATTTATTATTTCATCCACAGGTGTGAAAGGTTCACACATTTATTATTTCTTCACCAGTATGATGGGTCCATACTTTGATGTGCATAACAGCGTTTATATTTCTAATATTAAAATTAGATGTAATGAAGCCTTTGAATGGTAGTCTAACAGAGTAATCTTTAGACATGGGTTCGATTCCGGTCGAAGGCAAACACATCAAGAATCCTTATTCACAGCATGTATTTTTATTTTGTGACACAATGTCTTATTCTTGTGATAAAATTAATATCCGTATTATTATATGTTGTTTGTTTTCTAACAAAAAATTTATATACAATTACTGTAGTGCAAGTAAAGATATTATTACTGTACAAAAGTCAAGTTTTAGTACTGATAACAATGCAGAGATGGCTTAAGCTTCCTTACTGACAGAAATACTGATTTGTTGACTTTGGAGTTACAGGGATCTGTTCTTAAAATAATTGTACTTTTTGACAAAATGGAAACTAACACATTTGTGTACTCCAAAAATAATTTAATAGTCCATATATTTTACAGTGATTTTTTTTCAATTAGGTTTTTTCTTTTACAGTTGTTTATTTCAAATGTTTTTCAGACTAGAGAGCTATGACCGAAACTGCAATTTTGGGAGAGAGCCAGAACTTGAAGCTGAGTTTGAAATGACACTGCCCCTAGTTGAAACTTATAGGGATGTAAATGGTGACAGTCATCTTCCTTTTTTAGCATATGAAGCTATAAATTATTACTTACAGCCTTTTCAGAAGAAACTTGGTTCAAGTTCAAAGAATCTGTACACTAGTAGGTTTTTGAAATTTTTTCGTTATTCAAAACCTAGTAACATGTGTTTCCTGAAGTCTGAGTGCTGTCTGATGTGACTTACAAAGTCGATATTGCAATTGATGACGATGGTTCTGTTGTGGAGGGGCAGTGTGAGTGTGCTGCAGGCCAGGGTCCATCAGGACATTGCAAACATATTTGTGCAGAGTTATATGCTATGCACAAGTTTTCAACAACTGGCGATGTTTTAACTGAAGAAACATGTACTCAAAGATTGCAAACATTTCATAAAAGTAAACCCTATAAAGGCAGTCCCATAAAGGCGACTGACCTTGATTTATGCAACAGTGAATTGAATGTTATATTTGACCCACGACCAGTTCAGTATCGCAAAGTGCCAAATTACCCTGACTTTTTCCGCAATGTTTTGTTGAACCACCCTAGTGTCAATACATTTCCAGTTGCTCAAATGTTTCCTCCAGCAAATCCATTTGCTGTTAATCATGATCATGATTTTCTTAAGTTATCTTTAGCTGACCAATACCTGAAATCCCAGAATATATCAGAAATATCAGATATGGACAAAACCAACCTTGAAATAATAACCCGTAAACAGTCAAAGAGCGAGGAATGGAAAACTGAACACACACAGAGAATTTCTTCTTCCAATTTTAGGAAAATTTGTTTGGTAACAGACAAAACTGATTTTCATAAACTTGCTAGATCAATGACTAAGCCTTTCGAGGACATTCAAAGTCCACCACTTAGACATGGCAGAAAATATGAAAAGGTGGCAATAAAAGCTTTTGAAAAGTCAAGTGGTTTCAAAACCTCACCATGTGGCATGTTTGTGTCAGATGTTCATCCATTTCTCGCAGCTACACCAGATTCACTTCTCGGTGATGATACTACCATTGAAGTGAAATGTCCATTTGCATCTAAAGACCGTCTAATCTCTGAGATAACTGTTCCCTATTTGAAGGTATCTGAGGGAAAACTTACCCTTGACAAAAGCAAGCCATATTTCTTTCAATTGCAAAGGCAGCTCTACTGTACTGGTAGAAAACAGTGCATTTGTATTGTATACACGATGAAGGATTTGAAATATTTTACTGTATCTCGAGATGACCATTTCATTGAATCTATGGTTGAAAAACTTGTGGCATTTATGACACCTTTTTTCAAAAAGGCACTACTTGACAAATTCTATTTCAGAGATTATGACAGGTATTCCTGGTAAATTTCAGTTACTGCTGATACTCATGTGTCAATGGTCATCAGCCCTATAAACAAGAAAGACAGAATTGTAGTCTCAATGTTTAATGCTGAACATATTATATTCTGCATATATGGACATTCACAAACAAAAAGTTATGAAAAAACTTGCAGGGCTCCATTTAAGGATGATATTTCACCAGATGCATGTTGACGTGAAAAGAGTTGCATCAGACAAAACCAGGTTGAACTCTGGTCCCATACATTGATGCATTCACTTGTGTAAATAAATACAATCTCAGATGTTTATTAAGACATTTAGTACTTACTGTTACAGTACTATGTGACAATGGCAACCATCTCTTAATCACTCCAGTAGTTATAAGTTGGATAATCTAAATATCACAATGTACACACTGGTCCCATACATGGATGCATTCACTAGTCTAAATAAATACAATCTCAGATGTCAGTTCGTACTTACTGTTACAGTACTATATGACCAGGCACCTCATTATCAACTACTTGAAAGAAAAAATGGTCTTTAAAAAAAATAAATCTAAATATGTATGTGAATCATTAATTGCCTGTTTTTAAATTTGATGTGATGCTATAATCAACTGACATCATTGCTGACTGGCTAGGTTTGAGCACAACCACCAGTGGCTTAGTTAATGACATAAATCCTGCTGGGGTATCGTGCAGGAAGCAGAGGCACGGTAAGTCCCCATGATCCCCGGGTTTGGTTTCTGATGGCCTATAACCCGTGTTTTAAAACTGTATAAATGATATTGTTATGTCCAAATGTGTATGAAAAAATGTTTTTAAATATACCTTTGCATTCATGAGTAAATTGTGTATATCAACTTGGTCTCGTCGCTATATGGCTGAAATAGTATTGATGTGACATTAACTTTTAACTCCTTTTGTGACGATTGCAACCATCTGTTAAGTACTCCAGTAGTTAATAGTTGGAAGATCTAAATATAGATGAAGCTACAGTGCAATACATAATCACAATTCAGTGTCCATACTCATAAATATCATCACTGCTTGAAGCATACTCCTTCAGCTCTATATCTGAGGAATTACAACTGTCATGTGATTATTATCTGCAGCTGAACTGTTTGAGGGAATGATAAAAAAACATTGTCATTGACTTCTTTCTTGTCATGATTGCCTTTTATAACATCTGAGAGAGCTGAAGCAACAGCACTAAGATGTGCCAAATATCTGGACCGGTCTAGCTGCTGCCAGTATCATATGAAGAATACACAGCCATGGGACACAATAAATTACAATTTGTTTCTCAGTAAACATGTATCCATTGAAAAAATAATCGATATATGATCCAGAAATATACACTTCAACTTATTCAGATTTTAAGTTCGTGAAATAAAAGTAACCAGTATTTGGGTTTAATCCAAATTGCTGCCATGGAAAACAGGAAAGGGCACCAGTTCAACTTGTGTTTGATACATGTGCAAAGTTTCATAATAACATATGAAACAGTTTCCGAATTATGCTCGGACAAGAAATGTGTCTCTCCCACTTTGTGGCAGGGGATAATGTAACAGTACGCACCAAACAATGTCAACATTCTTAAATTCATGTTACTGATGTCATAAATTTAAAACAAACTCAGTGAGTGAGATGGGTTTAACACCACATTGAACAGGAAGTTTAGCATTACATTATCATAATCTCTAATACTAACACATTTATGTTTGTACCTTGACAAAAGAGTATGATTGATTGTGGCTGCACAAATGGTAAATTTGCTTCAAACTTGCTTTTTGACCACAGATTCCCATTCTAGTCTCAACATGATACATAATCGATAACATGTTACATTCAACTTTATCCTCATGAATATTTAGCAACAATTATCTTTAATCATGTAGCAAACGCAAATAACAGGCCTTTTTGAAAGAAATTAGAAACAAATCTCCATACTCTGCGTCTGACTAACGTCCGCCTGGAATGAAAGATATTTTTAATAATTTGCTAACCAATATGATTAGCAAGTAGAGGGAACAATGCACTTTTTGAAAGAACAAAGCATGAAGCAAACCGTGGTTATTTCTGTGGCTAATTTGGTTTCTGAACTGTTAAGAGGTTCAGTAAGTATTTTGAATGTTTTTGCCAGACCAATAATACGTTCAATGTGAACTCTTTTGCTTGATATTTTCCTATCACGCATAACAGTCTTGCCAGACATACGGTTTTTCTTTGAGAAGAATGTTGGCATATTAATGGTAACATCTTTTGGTGCAAAAATATCTTGTACGTTGAAACCTTTATCGGCCATAATACTATCTCCTGGGTCACACATCACTGTCAAACCACTACGCTCTACTATTTGACGATCACTTGTGGAGCCACCATACGCAGGAGACACGATGCGCAGGAGACACATACGACACAAGACCACCTGGTGTGGATCCAACAAGTATTTTGATAGTATTTCGATTTTTATACGTTGAGTAGGTAGACTGCTGAGCTATGGGGCGTTTTGGTTTCTGGATAGGGCATTCAGTACCATCAATGATAATTCGTGTGGATGGAAATTTGGATTTGAAATCAGAAGGACAAAAATAATGCACTAAGTCTCGTTCTGGCCAGTTATCAAGCTCACTCCACTGTCTATACATAAAATTTACCCAGGTGATCCATACATTTAATACAGTTTTCTCTGAAATTCCAAAATGAAGACCAAGTTCAAAGTTAGTCTTATGTCGGCGCAGTTTCATAAGTGTTAAAAGCAATTGATTTTCCACACTGTTGTCATACTGTCAACTTTGCTGTACAAATAATTTAGGTGATATGCACACGGACCCAAACTTGCAAGTACAAAGGTGAAGTCTGTATAGTTTGACAGTCCTGTATAAAACAAAATTGCTGCAGCATTAAACATAATACTTTGTAATGAAAGCATTGGAAATTTGTCCGTCTGAGCTGATGTACTTTCATATTCAACCTCTGCACTATCTGCAGAACAAATGTTTAAGTCGGTATTCATGTCATCAAACTCAACACTGTCAATTATTTCCTCCCCAGCTACCTCACTCATATCACATTCAATATCACAATCTGTATCCATTGCTTTAAATGTCCTCTTTTGGCTCTCACGTCTTTCAATGCGGGATTTCCGTAATCCCCCATCGGCCTCAAGTGCGTTGGCTGATGCAGTCCAGGGAAAGATTGATGGTACAGCATCTGGTTTTCTCTGTTTCCTCAGAGGTGTACACCCTGGGGAAAACAGCAGTAGATTATTATTTTCCAAACAGATATTGTGCAATCTTTTTACTACCAGTTGTGAGATAGCTTTTTATGATTAGATTTAAGTTAATTTGTAGGGAAAGAAAAAAATTCTATGGGCACGATATGTTTTGTCACATTATGAACATAATAGTGATACACATCAATACATTAGAAAAGTAAACAAACATTTAAATTAAGGAAAATTATGATATAAATTAGCTGACAATTTTCGTAGATATAGTCTCAACATTACATACATCTAATGCCTGATACAGAGAAGTGTCTTCAAGTTCAACACGTACACATGACACTTTTCTGACAAATACACATCAAAAGTGAACAAACATGAACCTGTATTCTTGAATCATCTGTGCCTCATCTCTGTGGAAAACAAGCACCTGCAGGAAAATGTAACATGACGCATTAAAGGCAAAAACGTCAAATATGTGTTGACATTCCTGGTAATCATCAATTCAACAAATTAAAGAAGAAAACTAAGAAGGGTTATGGTCAAACATCAACAACTTCATCAACGGGAATATAATGGTGGTAAACAGGGTTTTACCTTAATTAACTGGGTATGCACTAGACCCCTAGTAATTGATTTCAAAGGCCCTTGCATGAAATATATGAGGGTCAAACCTAAACATCACCATGATCACTGACTGGCAAAAAAATGGCTGCTATAGTAAGGCCTAAATGACACATTATTTCTATCTTGGTTTTAAAAAAACAATGAAATATACTCATAGGTTCACATTCAAACACACACAAACGTGATTACATTAGAATTAGCCAATACTCAAATTTACTCGCCTACTCTGACAGGAGGGAACTAAAATTATTGTGAAAAAAATCACACACTTCGAAGTTTTAAGAATCTTTACTCAATTTAACTCAATGACAAAATCAAACTATCTGTGAAAATAAGTGTGTCCCGCGGGACGGAACATATTCTATTTTGTCTGCGTCCATTCTTCACATTTCTGCATACTGGATACACATTTCTGAGTCACGTAAAACCCTCTTCGTAATTTCAATGCAAGAAAATAAAACAAATATAATTGGCATGCACGTTAATTAAATCTGCCAACGAATAGAAACATAACAAGTTACCCAAATATCTTACCATAACTAGTTACAGCAATGAAATCAGACGGTCTGAAGTGGGAATGACACACAACACTGTGAGGTGACAGTTTCCACATCTTGCCTTGGTTTGATTCGTCGCTCCTCCGAATAGCAATCAACCATCGTTTCAGCAACATGGGTTCTCTCGGAAACGACAAACCACCTCGATTGCAGCATCCCGGGACACAGCAGCACGTCGAAGGCATCGTAAATACTTCGTTGTAGTTGTTGGTCGTGCAAATATCTATGAACCGCGTAATATACCGGAAGTACGCGCAGGACCGTAGCGTTTGGCGCCATCTTTTGGCGAAGTAGTAAAGGGGCATAACTGAGGAATGTTGGCCATACTATCACCAATGTTCTGCTCGTGCAAACGTAACCAAATCCATAAATGTCAAGTAAATGTTTAATATGAGTTGCCCAAGTAATTCTATCACATTCATCCAGCTCCTTCATTGTGAATAACATTGTCGGGGATATCTGTCATCATTCATTCTAATTGGTTTATACCAGCATTTAATAGTCTTCATATTATAATCCATTATAATTTCCATAAACCGAACACAAATAAGGCCGTAGTTGCATTAATGCGCTGAACAATAAACTAATTTTGTTTGTTGTTCTTTTGTGTTAAAGATTAAAAAGACACCCTGTAAAGTCATACCTTCAACGTACTTATTTAGAAGAATTGACTTCATATGTAGCCTCAGGTACAAATATGCAAATATTTCAGTGTACACGTAATTGACACTTACGTTTGTGCGGATGTGTTACATTTATGAACATAAACGAAAAGACATAAAGACTGTTCCCTGAATACATACTGCAAGTATTGATCGATAACAATAATATATAGTTATTTAATATTTCGACAAACAGACAGCTCATAATCTCTCAATGATAGTGTTTACTTTCACAGATATAGATAGTGAAGCCTAATTCGTTGAGGTCACAAATCATAATTAATGAGGATATCATACTACATAAAAAGGAAGTAATAACGAAATGGATGGGCGTATCACACATGTGAATTAGTCCCCAGATTCAAGCATTCATGACTCATGGTGTGCCATTAATAATCAAGTGCCAGCATATATGATGAAAACTGAAATTTGATACATGTTTGTTTGACGTCATGACTTGTTTTATGTCTTTGGAGATGTGGCATTGAGACAAGACGACAGTGGTATATTGATAAATATTATTATATATTTCATCAACTTTCGTTCAACTGAAATAAAACAACCTGGATGTGTAAAACAGAATTTGAAACTTTTTCGGCAACATTAAATTACGACTATATCATGTAAGTAATGTCTTTGAAAAAACAAGTTCGTTTATGTTAATTTCATAACATGCGTAATTGTTATATATAATTAGACATTAATATAATTACATGCAAATTTGTTTCTAAAAAGCCTATTGTTAATATCGGACGTATGTGTTTAATTAGAATGTGTTTATTCTCTTCAATTTGTCTCTGTATTTTACATTTTTTAAGAATAAAATATGATTAATTTTGTTATTTAAGCATTGACGTGCATGCACCGACGTTTATACAGTTTGACCCTTGCTCTATGTAAGCCCATCCTCACACAAAGTGTCAAATTGAATTCTTATCATTCTTTTATTTCACTATTTTATACCTCGAAGGATGTGTACACATCTTCAAATAGTAGGTCATGTTAACACTGGCCACCGTAAACCAACCAGCTGCATCTTGGAGAAATAGTTTCTCAAAAGAAGTGAGATGAGCGTATGTATGCTCAAAATGTTCCACAGTAACATCGTTTGTAGTTTGGTTACAACATACATTTATAAATGTAAAGGGTATTAACGTCGCTTTCCAGATTATTGTACTGAAAAAGCTACGTGCGTGCATTTATGCGTATATATATATATATATATATATATATATATGTGTGTGTGTGTGTGTGTGTGTGGCTCCTTGTACTGCTCCTGTGGCTCCTTTGGACCAATGCCGATGTCATAGAGCTAGGACACTGAGATACCATGACGGAAAGTTCACTTCGGCAATCATGTTTGCGGCTTATTTCTAAAACGGACTGAATGATTCTTTGGTTCGTGGTGACGTTTCAAATTGTTGTCTTGACAAATCAGATGTCAGTGATCTCGACTCAATCCCGGATAATCACAGAAAAACACATCTGCAGCAGAATTCAGAAACTATGAAGTGCGTTTAATGTGCATGGTGTTGAATATGTTCTATTTGACCTCAAAGACATACATGTCCCTGTGGCATTCAGGGGATAGCGGTCTGTCAAACATTATCGTGCCCTGTCAGCTTGACATGGTACGAACACCAACTTGGCGCACGTCGATGTCTGGGATTCCATTACGTGTGGCAGCTGAGGGACACAGTCCCGTCAAGTGAATTGCATGTTGTACTTCCTTTTCACATGATAATACTGTTAAAACAGGAACGTTCTGCATTATTTGTTTGTTGTTTGAATCCTCACTCAGCAATATGCCAGCTGTATGATGGATGTCTGTAAATAATCGAGTCTGGACCAGACAGTCCAGTGATTGACACAATTAGCATCGATGTACGCAATTGGGATACGATGACATGCACCAACCAAGTCAGCGTGTCTGACCACCCGATCCCATTAGACCTATTCTGACCCGGATCTTCACGACAGGCAGGCAGGCAGTACGTGTACATGGGACACACATACTGATTAATATCTTTGTTTCAGTGATGGCGATGGACCGGAGCATCTGTGACCAGGAGATAACATGTAAGATCTGCGTCCTTGACTCAATGATGTTACAGTATATTATTCATTGGTTTTGACATTCATTCGTGTGTTGAGTTCGATAGGTTCGACGGCTTTCGAGATTTAAACGAGCGTAAAACGCAGTGTCAGTCAATGTTAAAGTATAGAAGCTATGACAGGATTTGCGTTAGCGTTGTTCCATGCAGGAGTTTCTTGGGTTTTCAATGTTATGTATAAAAAATATACAAGAGAGTGAGTGAGTGAGTGAGTAGAGATTGACGCCACTTTTAGATATGTTCCAGCAATATCACGGCGGGGGACACCAAAAATGGACTTCAGACATTGTACCCATGTGGGGAATCGAACCCGGGCCTTCGGCGTGAAGAGCGAACGCTTTAACCACTAGGCTACCCGACTACCCCAATATATAGAAGAAGAACGCTTATGCCATTTGAAATTGATATAACGCTTCTTATAAATGTCTATGATAACTTGTAACTTTCTTTTTCTGGTTGGTAGATGGTAGTGTCTTGTGAATTAGGAAGTTAAAGTGTTATACACTTCAACAAGATGTGTTGGTATTTATTATGGACGTTTTCTTCCGACAGGCCCGACTCTGGAATGGGACTCAAGCACTGCTCATAACTATATTGACGTGTCTGAATGTGTAATCACAAACACCACCTCAGCCGCCCCTTCTCCTGACACAGGATGTCGGATACAAAATATCTATTCATGTCTGGCATCAAGGCCTTTAATGGTTAAAAACTGTCAAGCCCAGCGATGCATGTATCGCGTAAAGTTTCGGGTTTGTGTAAAGGAATTGATAGAAGATAAGAAACTTATACAAGAGATTGCCCTGACCCCCACCCCTGTAGATGCTGCCTTGAATCAACTCACTGGACTGAGTGTACGTGTTTCTACATGCCCCAACCACAAGTAGCAGCTGTGTCTCTGTGTGGGCTATAATAGCACCCTCCTCACTGATCGCCCTCTCATTCAGAACAGAGTTGGACAATCTATTGACCTACAACTGTGTTTTCTAATGGATGGGGCTAATGACAAAATATTAGTTATTGATGCCGGTGATAACACAGTGTACACCACCGTCACAGATGTTGCTTTTGACAGACCAATGTGGGTCATGATGTATGTTGGTAATCCCGCAACATCAGATGGAAGAGGAGAACTGATTACAGGCCACAACATCACAGGAACCTTCGCCAACTACAATCATTAGACTAGTTTCCACTATCCACAACAATCACACACTCCATGTAACATGCAATGTATAAAAGCACAGCTCAGTAAAATAATATGTATGCCTTTGACACATTATCAACTTGTGTACATATGTAAAAACACGTTTGATTTACATATTTAATACAAATATTAATGTAACCGTGACGATCCGGTTTAGAATCCTGCTTGCCGTAAGAGGCGACTATGCTTGTTGTAAGAGGCGACTAAAGGGATCGGGTGGTCAGGCTCGCTGACTTGGTTGGTGCATGTCATCGTATCCCAATTGCGTAGATCGATGTTCATGACAACAATCACTGGATTGTTTGGCCCAGACTCGATTATTTTCAGACCGCCGTCATATAGCTCGAATATTGCTCATTGCGACGTTAAACAACAAACAAACGAGCAAAGCAAATCCGAATGAATTTTGAAACCATAATAATGCAACACGGCTGATGTTCAGTACTTTTCCTTAGTATCTTACTGTCGCAAAACATTAAGCGGCAAAGTGGACATTATTTGAACGCAGACTAGAATAACAAAGTTAATGACTGAATATTCTCACGCTAGCATAAATTGCGTCTTACCTTCGAAGAGTGTAATGTTTTACAATCATATCAATTCTCATTTACCGATTATCGCATGCTGACCATGGCAAATACTATTTCAAGTAAACATGACACCGTGGTGTAGTTGCTGTGGCCCATTATGAATGTATACACACATTTAGGTTAACAGTACTATCCCGAGAGCAATATAGAATTGACAGCAACTATAAAAGTCCTGACAAAAAAGTCTTCGTTGAAATCATTTAAGCATTGCCATTGTCAACGTGTGGCAATAATTCATGGGAGATAACTCGTGTGGTACTACTGAGTAGGGCACCACCACATCTCTATCCCCGCTCCATATCGATACATCCTCGCCTGTAATCAACTCATTTGAACAGTCCCGTGATATTTGTTATTACCATGTTTAACTGCAATTGTAAAAAGCCCGCATTTGTGCATTTTCATTTTTTAGACATGATTATGTACTTTTTCATCTGACATCATGTTCTCTACTTCGACCAATGTTTATGATGTTCACAAAGGACTACGTCATTTAATGTCAGCGAGTTCGTTATATATAAAGCTATGTCAGTCATGTCACGTCATCTGAGTAAGTAAAATACCTCCAAGGTAAGGGCTGGACTGAAAATTATATTTTGATTAGGGTTTTTATGACTCGGGGCACGGGCTGCTCAGTCGACATAGACGGGACATAGCCAGGTGGCCGTGCTTTCCTATTTCATACTTAGATTAAGGTTCTTGGTTTATGAGTAATATTTCCGTGATTAAGGTTTTCATTCATCATTTAGCCGACGTGCTCTTATTTTAACTGAGCTATTGCTCAAAGGAACGGTAAACCTTACACACTCCAACCCAAATTACTTTGACGACACAATAATGATGGCTAACTTCACCTAGTACATCCACTCGTGAAATATGAACATGTTTTCCTCTCTGTGTGGTTATGTGGGATGGGGTGAGTTTGGTTAGGATGGGGTGAGGTTGAGGTGGGTGGGTTTGGGTTTGGGGTTGGGTATGGGGAGTTAGTCGTATTCAATGATACCTTTTCGAATGGTAGTTTTTAAGTGACTTCGCCCCTTGTATAATATCACAGGAAAGAAATCATCTGGTAAAATGATGTGGTCATGTTATTCTCTGTGGAATTATTATTCAAAGTTCTTTCCGCATTGGTTAATCAGTATCAGCAGTCATAATTTATGTTTCTATTGTCTACAATGTATGACGTGTCTGCCTTGTTTCCTTAAGACATTGGTATGAATATTTCTTGCAGAAAATAGAACCCAAGAGCCTCATAAGTATTAATGTTGTATACTTGCTGTGTAGTCGAACACTACTTACGTTAATGCTGCTGTACATAGCGCGCGCGCGTGTGTGTGTGGATTGTTCCTTATTGTGAAAGATATACACTTATTATACATTTAAGATGTCACCATGAAATGTCTTAAAGTGTTCATTTATTGTGAAGTTGTGCAAGTGTATACAGCAATTCCCAATGTTAGTATTATCTAGATATGTATATTCGTATTATGATGTTATATTAACTGGATTATGAATGAAAAAGTGAAGTGCAACATATAGGTTATGTTGCAATGTTTTGAATGGGGCTTCAAAATTGCTTGAATTTGTGTGAGAAACATCGTCATTTAAAATATAAACTTACCCTGTTTTGAAATTTGATGTAGTCCCCCTGTAGAGGAGATGCCTCTTACTTTAATTTGTAACCGAGTGCTTTACACGAACCAAGATCTATGATGTGGTTTCACATTAACCTGTTGATTTATTGGGAATGATCCTGTTAGTGCAACGTGATTGCCAATGGAACTGGAACAGCCGCAATTTAGGCTGCAGATGAGTGACACGACACGAGTGATTTGTGACCTGTCAGTTTCAAGATTTCACGGCATTCGACGCCAATATTTGAAAGAAATGTGACAGTTTTGGTTCTGACACAGAGGTTCTGTATAATTAGTGAGAAAACGCTACATTCACCATGATCTATCGTTAGTTTCGCCCTATGAATTAGTGTCCTGTGTCAACTATGTATACGCTCATAGGCTTCAAACATTCCATTGATGCACTGAGTGCATCTGCTGAAATGTCAACAGTCAAGGCTGGTGAAAAATAATCGTGTGAAGATAATTATTTCCACCCTTGACATCCAGACTAGGCCTATTTTGGAAGATTGACCGTTGTTGCTTCAAGGTAAATATTAATGTCAATGACTTTATTGCTCTCACATATACTTTTGTGGATTTTGTACTACCACTATAGTGTGTCCACCCGTTGTAATTACTTTGCAGTAATTTGTACCGATTTGTAAACTTAGTTAATTCTATATGACAGTTGTTGATTGTATAGCATTTCTTTGCCTTTTGTTTTTGGTATGCCGTCTGTGACAGTTTAACTCAAACTGATATTTTCAACTTTAGCCAAACTATTGTTAACAAGGAGATAAGTACATATCTAAATATGCTACCAGTGACAAAGTCGAGGAACTGACGTCTTTGCACGCGGAGAAAACAATCAAGTAAAGTTCAAGGAATTGCTTCATGCATGAAGTCGCTGAGGTCAAATATCGCATTTCCATGATAATACATCAAACGTTTTGAATGATTGCGGAAACCTAACTTCACACATCTGAAAGAGAATATTTTATATTGAATCTGTTTTTTTACAGTTTTATTGTATATACCTTTTTTATGATTGCAAAGATTATTCCTGTGGCTATACGGCTGAAATTTTGACGAAATGATGTTGTGTAACACAATCACTAACTGAAACAGGAACGCGACTATTGAGATAACCTACAACGATAACATCAAACCCTATTGTAATAACTAACCTGGCCGTCTATGTGAGCATTGTCAAAACCTGTCAGTTCTCGTGTGTTTGACACATGTGCAGGGCTGTAGGTCACCAGATCCACTTTCTTACCTCTTACGAGCCGCATAGACTGCAAGTGACCAAACATAACCGGGAACTAGATGTTTTAGAATCAATGCAGAAACTGATCATTGTTTTTGAAAGGAAAGGGCATTGTTATACAGGATATATGAAGTCTACTGGTATAAGTATATTTAAGCCTCGCTTAATTGGATATGTGTTAAATGCTTCTTCAAAACCGATGTTAAACTGTTCGTGCTTGTGAATTATGTTACCTTTCTTTTGCCTCACATCATCAATACCCCACGGGCTTGACAGCACTGCATTCTTCTATATGAAGCAATGTCAACACACATCGTTCTTTACTATAAGGTAGCAATATAGTGTAAAGACGGAATATATAAATATTTAAAAGCACAAATATATTGGCATACAAATATATATAACTATAAATAATAAATACACATATATATTTGTGTTAGTTTTAAGCCACACACAAACCTACAAACATATGAGGCTATGACAATGCGAGCATGTTATTGATTTTACCATGTAACCTGCCAAACATAGCACTGACCAAAGATAATAGAACTTCAGGACAGAAGACGGATCCTTGTCAGACATTGAAGGCTTTTTTAGCAATGGTTTTAAACTCACTAACGAGGCCGTAGAGTCAACTAAACAACTGCTAAACAAGGTAACGTCTTCTTTGGACAACCACACAGCAGATGAGGAGTAGAGCTGACCAGACATCTACAAGTTACGACATCATCGGCTTCTTCTTTCAAAAGGATGTTGCAGGAGTCTCACATTGAGAAACAATATACGAGGACAGGCGTAGGCTTTGTACCTGCCAACCTGACCCACCTTTCCTCCGCAATCCAGGGAGCAGGACTGATAAGGTCAGTCACGTACTTCCCAACACAGAGGCCGGGATATGTACCAGGGGCTGACAGATACATTGCAATCACACTGACACCTGCAGAATTTCAAAAGGGTAAATTAATTTTTATTATGTACATGTATGTAAAAATATCTATAAAATGTTATTGTCGACATGAGGTAGCTGTGGTTCGACAGTTTGTGATGACTACTGTCCCACGTCTGCTTATAATGACTTAAGTTTATAACTAAATGTAAACGGTTGGATATATTCATTATTATAGTGTGTTTGGGTATGTTGTAGTGAAACTAACATTTAGTTTTAAATAGATAAAGGTATATCATAATCTTTAGTTCGACAGTTGGTCTATTTCATTTCTTAGTTACATTGTAATCTGTTTAAGTCGCTGATGTGGACAAGACGATTTCCAGTGGAGATGAAGCCATTTCATGTGAGATGTCATGTATTTAAGCTCCAACTTATCTTACTCATGTGCCCATCAACATAAGGGGCACCGCTTGACCTGTGATGTAAGGCTCCTGTGCGGATTTCCGTAGACGGTTATGCCAAAGTCTGTAGATGATTGGTTTGAATCAAAATTGAACCTTGACTATGACTCTTTGTTTGTCTACATCATACGCATCCTCATCGGTTTCACAAGCACCAGATGCTTGCCGTAAGAGGCGACTAACGAGATCGGGTAGTCAGGCTCGCTGACTTGTTTTCTGTTTGTCATAATATCCCAATTGCGCAGATCGATGCTGGTCCAAACGCGAATATTTACAGACCGCCTTCATATAACTGGCGGCGTTAAATAACAAACAGACAAAAAATCCCAAGCTACAGATAGTCGTGGAAGTTCGATGGATAGATGAAGGACATTAAAAAAAACCCATATAACTGTTCATATGATTTGCTTTGTCTTGTACTATATATTTCGTTGAAATGAAATGTCACTTTTTTTACTTGAAGGAATAATACATGGGAGGTGGAAAATACATATTTCGTCTTGTATCATTTTAATAAAAACATTCTCAGTTATGAGGCGACTGTCAACTTGAATGGGTGTTATGTTATACTGATTCAATAATGTGTATTTGTGAATGAGACTTACAATGAATGTGTTTTGTGTTATTAGTTCGTCTCTTGTTTCCTCCCTAGGTCCGCACCTTGAATGGCACTGCAGTACAGCGAGTGACGACATCACTGTATCTGATACTTTGGTAACAAATGAAAAGCCCAAGACTCCGCCCAAAGACATAGAATGTCGAAAAAGGTCGTGGAGACGTCTGTTGACATCAAGACCTTTGGTTATCAGAGGTGGAAGCCGAGAGATGTTTCTGGTGAAAGTCAGCTTCTCTTTGAAAAAAGGGTCACTGAGAAAAGAAGCATGGTGTTTGAGACAGCAATGATTGCCAACCCCGCAGATACTTGCTGGAACCAATCAACTGGACTGAGTGTACGTATCATAGGATGTCCAAAGCATAAGCACCAGCTTTGTCTCTGGGTGAGGTTTGATGGCAAACTCCTCTCTGATATACCTATTGTTTGCAATCAAATTGGTAAGGCAGGTGCCTTACATCTAGACACTCTACTGGGCGGTAGGAGCAGTAAGATTTATGTTGTTGACATTGGCAACACTACAGTGATTCAGTCTGTGACTGACACTGTGTGTGAAAGAACATTCTGGGTCATGGTGTATCTAGATGCATCCCAAGATTCAAACATGACGTGTGAACTAATATCAGGTCAAAACCTTACACTATCAGAAGGAATGACCCAGTTGTTATCTCTGAAGGGAAATGACTAGACGGTGAATAAACGCGTAAAACATCATCAGAGGGGATGGTCTCCAGGACCCGACGTCCATAGTGAAAGAATAAAGAGTTCGTGATCATTCCTCCCGTACAGATCTCAGCGACCATTGTGTGCATCCCATCCTTCCTTGCTCACCCGAAAGGCTCGAACCATATTGTATGTCTTAAATTCAACTCTACTATTTTTTATGTCCGATGTGGAAGGACACGTGAAGAAAATGATGGCGATGTAATTCCTTGTTTTAACTTTTCTTTATGTTCCCGCGTTTGTGCAGGTGAACTCTTGAATTACTTTTGCATGTGTTTGTGACGGGTGCCACTGGTGGACCTGGATGCTCTTACCTTACGTGTACACTTCGTATCATCACTAAGTGATGGTGATTCATAGACACCTGCTCATGATATAGTCGGAATCGTACAACAGACTTTGCCTTTAAGCAGAGATTTCTTTTGATTCTGTAAAGGCTTTTGTCGCTAAATACGCAATGCTGATAGTTCTTAATATATCTTTACAGTACTGCTAGATTGATTCTTTAATTTTAAGAGTGAGTGAGTGAGTATGGTTTTAAGCCGCTTTTAGCAATATTCCAGCAATATCATAGCGGGGGACACCAGAAATGGGTTTCACACATTGTACCCATAGCGGGAATCGAACCCGGGTCTTCGGCGTGACGAGCGAACGCTTCAACCACAAGGCTACCCGACCACCTCCTTTAACATCATTATCAGTGTTTCACATGAGAATATTTATAGGCATTTGCAAATGATTTAGAGATTATCCTACGGCACACGTTTCTTTTTGTGAAATATCACGGTTTCCGTGTATCACATGGATATATAAGCTCAGTAAAAATATCTCGGAACGACGCTACATAAAACTGTGTCTGACCACTATCACAATGCATGACATCATATTTAACTATTTGCAACTATTCTTGATATGAAGTGACGTTGCTATGTGCGGCATGTAGCATAATAGGACATTTGGTGTGAGTTCCGAGTTGGTTATTCTTCATATTACCCGAGAGACACTGCAACCCGCATGCACTCTACTTGACTCTTTTTGCTCTGTCAGTAACCAGCAGGGATTGAGGTTTAACGCTGCTTTGAGCAATATTTCAGCAATATCACGGCAGGGGACACCAGAAATGGGCTTCACACATTGTACCCTAAAGCTTGCTGTGAATCGAACCCGGGCCTGCAGCGTGATGAGCGATCGCTTTAACTACGAGGCTACCCCATCGCCCCACTACTGGGGAGATGTAGATTCTGTATACTTACCACGATGTCACCGTGACATGTGGAATTTGGCATATATGTATCTATGTCATTCGACTATGTGTTTCACAGTAGTCATTTTGTTCTTAAGCGTGTCCTTTGTCACAATCATCGACCGGAGCAGAAAATCCAGTATTGCCTACATCACCTAGTGTAGTTCAGTACACAAGTTCCCTGTGTGTAAGAACACGTAATCAGAAAAGAACGTCCACACATATGTTGTTTACATATTCGTATTTTGTCGTTATGTTGATGGGCGATAATAGGGCCCAATTATCATTATTCTAAGCAAACATAACCCTGATCATGAAAAGGGTAATTTTAACGAAATGCTGAGAATATAATACGTACGGCCAAAGTACAGAACTGAATTAAACACAAATACACACCTTCATAAACGGATTAACTATAAGTCTTGATGTCAGTAAACTTGCCATTGTCAATTCCTCTTGATTTCTTCCATGACGCCTTGACAGTTGAGAACAGTTCTTCACTGTGGACTTTACAGGTTGGAATGCCGCATGCGACAAACGCTGTTCGTCAAACTGTGCTCTAGGTAAATGATATGGAGAAAAAGAAGTTCCATCATTGAAAGATATGGATAGATATGATAGATTCAGATTAATAGGTTTGAACGTGTTCCTCGAACTCAGTATGATATTCAACATTACCAATGACATTGGGCTAAGGTAGATATACAAAACCTAAAGTTCAATTATTGCAAATCGCAAATATATGTCCTCTTCTTGAACACCAATTTCGATTAACTACACCAATTAACTTAAAAAATGCAAACAAAGATTGATCAACCAAGACAGATATGACATATTCAGATTATACAGTTTTTGATTTAACTCACTGTGATATTTAGAGGTTATAATATGGCAGTTTTCATATCAAACCCCAACCCTCATATCAGCTCGAGGGCCGAAGGCCAGATGGGGGGTCGAGGAGTGATATGGCCTTTTTATCATATACCATGGCATAACATTGTAAAATGTATCTGTTTGCCAGTGAATGCAATACATTATATTACTGTCAACAAACGAGCAGGCGACGCACTAAGGGACATAAGTCGGGCTGATTTCGATCGTTATATCAGCACGGCCGGGTTATTACACCCCTGTATGCCAATATGGAGATGGTCATATCACAGGGGGGTATCACAATAACCAGACCCGTGTTACACCCCTGGAGGGCTGTTATGCCTTGTCAGTGCACTTAGAATGAGCTATTGATATCAACCCGATTGGAGTTGGTGCGTCGTCTGCTCGGCTAATATTCCCATGACAGCGTCTTCTCAACAAGGTGAAAATGTTATGGATCTTTATGAATGGACACATTATTTTATGGTATATGATAAAAAGGTTATTGTATCATATATATCGACCACCATTCATTTGGCCCTTGGGATGGCATGGGGGTCTCGGTTTGATATGAGGTGTTACATGAAAAATGCCATGTAAAAACTCGACTTTCCACTGACACTGGTAATATGAATTCATTTATCAATTTGCTGCAGCTGCGCGCATATTCGTCTACAAGAGTTTTTGTTTTGTCTGTGCATATACGTGCCTGGTTGTATCCACGCCACACCACAAGGTGTGATCGAAGTACACTGTTTACAACTGACCTATTTACCATTGTATGAGACTGCACACACCATACGAGGTAGTCATGTCTTTCAAGTTGTTATAATAACCAAAGTAGCAACTGCGCGTGTGCAGAAAGGCTTAGGTGGAGTGGTGTCTGTGTACGTGTATGTAGACGCCTTCTGTACACCTCTCTCTGTCATTTCTCTTAAGGTAAGAAAGTTAATCAGTCTGTTGATTATGACGTGTTGCTGTGTCAGGATCACAGAACGTATGTAATGCAGCAGCGTTTCTGTTGGAGTAGTGATTATATAAAGTTGATGTGAATGTCGAGTTACTTCCTGCTTGTTATCAACATCTGCATGATATAGATCGCGTCAACATTTGTCACTCAATGGCAGACGCAAGAAGCCTGCAATGTCGCTGTACCCATTTCCATACAGAATACAAAATTAAGGTTACATATGTTTCACAATGTCACTTAATGAGTGTTGTTAGTGCTGCCTGTCCATGTTGATGGCAACTGTCACCGGGTCGTAAAACCAGTCTGGTCACGTTCTAGAGATTTACTGCATTGTCACCGTTCGACAAACAGCTTCCCTTTCTCTTATATGCCCGGTGTCGCCACCCTTTAATATTGACAGTAGCGGGTGACTTCGCCAAGGTGAACACTACCAAGCTGGCTGTCGTTTCAGGACGAACGTCAGCATGTCACGTGATTACGTTGTCAATCGCGCGGAGACATACAGAACTACTTTAGGGGAATTCCTCAATGTAAACAAATAACATTAAAAAGATAATTAGGGAAAACTGAGTGCGACATCGATTGAATGATCATGGAATTTGTTTCATCTTCATCAGCTGATCAACGTCAACAAATACAACTTCAATCTTTAAGTAAAGTCCGGCGGATGTCATACTCCGGTGTCTTTACGTTCATTGTCAGGGAATCAGTGACCTGTAAATTTTTATTTCTAGTGGTTTAAATTGCATACTTCTATCATCCGCCGGGGTTTGCCGAGAGATGACGACGCAACGGGCAATTAAGAGAGAGGTGATGTTACGTTCACTAGACCGTGACTAGACTGGTTTTAAGACCCGTTGACATCAACACACGGATATAACAAATCTTTCTGACATTTTGATAAACCACATGATGGGAACATTCAATGAAGCTTCTTTTTCAAATTTAAGCATTTGTGTAAGACCTGCCCACATGGTTAAGTACACACTATTTCACTATACGACATGCTGTATGTTAGTAGTGTACTGCCCTACCTTTCTATGGCATGGAGTATTTCTTTTACGAAAGTAGCTTCTGTGCATGAACATTCATTGAGTACACTCAAACTCATATATGTACGAGTTCATGCCGCCGAACAGTATTCCATTTATATCACGTCGTGTTTGCTTAATGTGGGAGGAAACCCACGAGCAAGGGTATGGTGCTGGCATTCCTAAAAACATAATCCGGGCGAAGCGGGATTCGCAAAAACGATCATAGGTTTCTGTCATGTATAAGGGACACAACTGTGTACAGTGAAAACCGTTGCCTTAGACGACTGGGCCACCCGTGTCCTCCATACATGTACTTGTGGTTCGACCTTTGCTATTGGTATTCCCGAGGTGATATGGGACACAGGCTGCTCAGCTCTCCACATTGCTGAAACCAGGATCGGCGGTTTGAATCCAATATGTGCTCCTGTTATAATTCTAAGTTTGTCAGCATCCCTTTCATGCACGTGAGTTTCTCTATTGGGTACGTTACTTCGAACGTTCCTCCCAAATTAAGCTGACATGTCGGTAAATACTTGCACTACTGTGAGCAGAGTAAGCCCAACATCACTCTCTCACATGGGTTAAACTAATACATCGCTTTACACATAGCACAAGTGATATACCCGAAAGAGAAACATGTATATGAGGAGTGGAATCCTGAATCCTAGTCTGTAACATTCGTGTGAAGGGATGAGATGCGTATGTGTAGGTGGGAGTCTATGCTTCGGGAAATTGATCACATGTATAACCACGGTCTCACGACACTTTCAAATTCATAATATATGTTTAAATCCATCACAATGAAAGAAATTGATTCCATTTAATTCAACATGGTCGTAATGATTGTCTTTTGCCAGACATCATGTCGGATCTTGTCTCAGTTGCTGCGATCAAGGATCTTCTGACAGAGTGCCCAATATGTACAGAACACTTTGATGACGCAAAACGAATTCCCCGTCGTATGCCATGTTGTGTACAGTCCATATGTCAGCCCTGTCTAGAAACCTGCAGTGGAGGTGCTGCAACCCTATCCTGCCCCATGTGTCGACAGCGACATAATCTGCCTGGTGGGGTGAAATCTCTGCCCAAAGAGACTGTCATCCTGAAGACTCTGGACTACCTCAAGATCCAGAAAGGTCTCCATCTGCCATGTACAGATTGCCCTGACAAGGAAACAGCTGTAGCCCAGTGTGACAACTGTGGAACATTTTTATGTTCCATTTGCTTAAGTGCCCATAAACGGAATACGGTATCAAAGACCCACACTATAAATACCTTTGATGAAATGAAGGGCCGACCTGTGCAGAGTTTTCGTCGTCTACATCAGTGCAGTCAGCACCAACAACCTCTACAGTTCTACTGCTACACTTGTGACAAGGTCGTATGTGTGTCCTGCACTGTAGTAGATCACAAAGAAGGGAAGGGGCACAACGTCGTGTCTGTGGATGAAGCACACCAAGGAAAGGCGAAGTCCACAAATGATGTTTTAGGAAAGATAGAAGAGAAGACAAAGAGACTGAGCGAAACGGAGTCAGCCCTTCAAAAGAAGATAGAGAACATCAAATTGTCAATGAAGGTAGCACGAGATGATATCAACAAAATCTTTGACAATCTGATCGATGGGCTGAATCAAAGAAGAACAATCCTTCTATCAGATGTTGAGGGGAAATCTGCTAAGAATCTGAAGCTAACAGAGGAGGCCTTGGATTCGACAAGACTACTGCTGAGTAAAGTGAAGTCTTCTTCCGAATACATGCGACAGATGCGCAGCAAAGCTGACAAGGTGGAAGATCTACAAGTAATGGGGTCTTCTGAGGCCTCTTTGAACTCCATGTTGAAGGAGTCACCACAGGAAATACCCTTTGACAGGACCGGAGTAATTTTTGTTCAAGCAAACGTAAAACATCTTCAGGATACTATCAAGGTGGCAGGAATGGTCAGATCAGTTACGTTCTCCCCAACAGAGAGGCCGAATGTTGTGCCAGATACTGCAGTATACAACGCCATCACACTGGAACCTGCAGAGTTTCCTACAGGTAGGTAGTAAACTATTACATACTGTTCATCTATTTAACATGTGTGCAGCTACCTCCTATGTATGGAATCCTAGGAGGGACTTTGTCCCTTTGTCACATTGTCGCCGTTACAAAAACAAGCAAAAGGTGTCAAAATTAACCAAAGCGCGACAATGCAAGAATACAACAATAAGACATTTTGGCTATTTGTCACATTGTCACATCATCGAATTGTTGCGCTTTGAACAATATTTCATATTTTACCAAAGGTCGACAATGCAACATTTTTCAATTTGAAAATATGTCACCTTGTCGCCCATCAAAACTGAGCGAAAAGGGCGTTAAAATGCGCGACAACACTACAATGCGACATATTGATTTTGTTGCATTGTCGAGTTGTCGTCCTGTTCAATTATTGGTGCGCATGCGTTGTAAGTAAATTAATCTACGCATGCGTACAAATGGTTATACCTCTTTTCAAACTCCAGTGGTCATTTGCTAGCTCCAATTGTTCCAAAACCAAAATAGCAATGGCAATGTGAGTAGCTTTTCTCAAAGTTAAAAGAACTTTTTCATCGTTGCTTCAGAAAGTAGTTCATATATCGTTATTGTCTGTGTCATTTTCCATAAACCTTATGTGTCTTCACAGCAAGAAACAACGTTTCTATTTAATTTAATTCTGATCTCTGACATCTTCTTAAATCGATGCCCCTGTCGTTCACGTCTCTTACAAATGTGAGTGAGTGAATGAATTAGTATGGTTTTACGTCGCTTTTAGCAATATTCCAGCAATATCACGACGGGGGACACCAGAAATGGGCTTCATACATTGTACCCATGTCGGGAATCGAACCCGGGTCTTCAGCGTGACGAGCGAACGCTTCAACCACGAGTCTACCCGACCGCCCCCTTACAAATGTAGAATTACCAAAAAACTGTGATCGTGGAATTGAACCCCAGCACTATACACTCAGGGATTTCCTGACACACTGTGGAATAACTTGTAATTTAGTTCAAAGCGGCGTTAAACCACAGGTCACGTTAGTCACGGGGAGTCCTTGGATTGGTGATTGTGTTCGGCTGCTTGGCTCCTGGGAGTTTCTAGGTCTTCAGTCCTGCTCCACACTGAAGCACATGCAACACATGTGGTGCCTCTTTGGGCAAGTGACTTTGTTTTTACGATGAATTCACTGTGCAGAGTGATGTCCCCTAAGCGTGCCAGAACCTTATGATCGTGGGTACGAATTCCCAGTTCGTTCTGATTAAGTGTCTTCATTTTGGACCTAAATCACTTCAGGCTTTTCTCCCACATCAAGCTGACACGCAATGACTGTTGAGAGCGGCGTTAAACAATACTGCCTCACGATTTTCACAATAATGTTTCAGCAATGTCAATATTTGAATCATATGTACTTTTTCGGAGTCAATACATCGAACTTCAGATAACTGACGACCCTTAAGCTCACAGACTTAGCTCCTTCGCGGACGCACATATATGTATGCGCATTTGTAATTGTTGTAACTGAGTTCGATCTCTAAGAGCATTTCTTTATAACCATAGATAGTGTTTTGTTAAAATCTCCAAAATAAGCAGTGACCAATAAAAGGAACTTTTTGATGAATTGTCACATTATCGCTTTATCACGCTTTGGTTAATATTGACACTTTTGGCATTAGTTGTAAGGGTGACAATGCGACAACGCGACAATGTCCCTTCCAGGATTCCATCATATGGTATGTAATGTCTAAAGTGAAGGTTTTTATATTAATGAAAGTGTTTTTTATATCTTACATATTTTAATATTGCCACTATTTCCCCAGCGGTGAAAAGCCGATTCCCTTCACTGATATACCCACTTGAAGCAGAAATAGAAGGGACGGGTTAAAACAGACTCATTTGTTTCATATTTAGATCTATGCATAAAGTTTAAGTGTGACACAAATATCTCAACAAGACTGTATGACAACAGGGGTGATTCCAACTTTCCAAAAGTGAACTTCCCCTTTGTGACGAGCAGTATTCCAGCAGCTACGTTTCATCAGTTTTATGTTACAGTGCAGCATGTTCTTTCTCAGAAAATTTCTAAGAGCGTCAAATGACACTTGCTCAAAAGTTGTGATCTGTTTCTGATATTTCTGAAAGCTGTAACATAATATTCTATATCCAATACTATCTTAACATGTGAATAATACCTTAATTTACAAGACTCATCAATTCTCATCTGGATACTATTTTTACAATCCAACAAACGCTGTCTAAACAATTAACATCACCAATATTCTGCTCGTGCGCATGCAAACGTAGCCAAATCCATAAATGTAGCGGAAATGTTTAACATGAGTTATGAGTTATGAATTCTAACACATTCATCCAGCTCCTTCATTGTGAATAACACTGTCGGGGATATCTGTCATCATTCATTCTAATTGGTTTACACCAGCATTTAACACTCTTCGTATGATAATCCACATGCACATAATATCTGTTTTACATTTAATATCTTATTCAGACAATTTTGAAGTGCTTGGTACATATTTACCAACCCCTGAAACAAATTTTACAAAAACTAGTATGATAAGTATCGACAGTTTGACCAGCTTTGCATCCGCAAATCTCCGCAACACAAAGAAGAAAGGGCTTTATTTAATATCACATGATTTAAATAAAATGTTAACTGGCATATTTATAAAGTGAAACTGCAGCATTTTGATGGTAAGCAAAGCCTTATTGGCGTTTAATCTTGAGGGTATCAATGCATTTAAACCAAGACAATCTGGTTGAAAACAGAACTTCAGTAAGTACTTAAATTAATATGCTTATCATTCAAGCACCATCGTTTATCATCCCTTAAAGTGCCACCTCTTCTGAACACCAAGCCTTCGGTATTAGACAAAGTCCCAACGTTTTATAAAAAAATAGATGAAATGTCAATCTTGCCTTGCAGACCTATTACGGTGTCATCGAATATACCCAAATCATCGTCATATAGTAAAAGTAATATTGGTCAACGAATTCCTCTCAAAAAAACATTCCTCTTTCTGTCATAGACTGTAGTTCGAGGTTAAACATCATGAAGGGACTCAACATTCAGACTTGTCGAACGCTGGTCAGTGATTCGAAATAATCTGAAAGAGAGGTTTTTGATGTCCTGACAGCACACTGGATCTTGGAGTATAGATCCTTCAAAAACCCCAATCAACAACTGTTGATTTCATTTTCAGTAGTAAATACCACAAGAACTTCCTTTTGATCGAATCCAACACTTTTCGGAAATCAACAAACAAACACTAAAATCTACCTCGACGTTTAGCTATATATAGAGAGATACTTTTGTGCTAAACACTGTAAAGTGAATATATTGTCAATTGTACTCCATCTGCTCCGAAATCAATCCAGAGCTTCAGGAATCGTTTCATAAATTTCTGCAAAAGTCTTGAGCCGTTCATTTAATATTGTTGTTATCAACTTTCCAAATACATCCACCTTATCAACTTTCCAAAAACATCCACCAGCGTATTTCCTCTATAATTATTGACATGATTAATATTATCTTTCTCATGCACGGGAAGTATTATACCCTTTGCCCACTAGTAAGGGAATACGCCGTTATGCATAATCCTATGAACAACTATTTTTAAGTGTGATATGATTGAAGTGCTGCAACATTTCACAATTTCGGGAAAATTCCATCCGGTCCTGCCGATTTACCAAATTTCAAGTTATGTATTGCTGGTAATACTTCTCCTTCAGTTACATCAGTATTAGGGGATTATTCATACCATCATCATTTCAGTAATTGCACTCTTTAATAGAATGGCTGGTGATAAAATCTTGTGCCGCGTGTAGATTGTCCCCTTCCACATGTATATCCCTTAAATTAAACCAATGCTGGAAATATTCTGTCCATTGCACATTGCTAATACCTGCAGCTGGGCTGCTTGTCACAGAAGGTGAAGAAATAATATTGTTGACACGTCTCCAAAAGGATCTATACAATCATCTATACAATCTTCCTCATGCTCAACTCGCTTCTCTCTTCTGTGATATCATCCACTGTCATTTTGGGCAAAGCAAAATTACTGTGTGTTCAGAAATTTAAATATCGGATATTAAGTCGAAGGATTGAATTTCAAAAAATAGCACATTAGTGATCACGGGAATCTGTTTTTCACCAAAACATCAATGATAATTCTGAAACGTCGCCGAGGAATCTAGACTCGTTTTGAACGATTGGGAAAATACCCAAACACAAACGCCGAAGTGTACTTTCCGCCATATTGGATTCTGTTCACAAAAATCATGTTTCACGTATGCGGGTTATGAAACGCCTTTGAGATCACGTACATTTCAAACTCAGCTGCGATACATGCATCCCTGAATTCCTCCTACATTGTAGAATCAAATGACAAATGGTCTTTATCACCAATACAAATTATCGAGATGACATCGTTCGAAATAAATTAGGTTTGGAAACGAACACTGTGCTCGGAAAACTGTACTTGTTGAAATGTAAACAAAGCAAAATTCAGATTTTACACCTTCCCATTTTGAGAGATCAATTCGTCTAATTGATCAGGGAAATTCAACATCGATCGTAAACGTTTTACATAAACGTACTGTTGTCAGTGAACACGCCATTTTGTAGACGTCGGTCACCGGCAGTGATGTCATACGATATATAAACATTGTTGTACATATTTGGTTATTTCTTTGAGGTGATTTTGTTTAACTCAGCATCATGCGGGTTCTTTGATCTTATCTAGTTTGCACTAAAATCATGGCTTTTGTAATCCACAAAAAGGCAGAAACGTTTTCAGGCTTAGGTGTAGGGTCACATTATTTATGAATAGTAAGCAGTACGTCGGATGACGTCACTCATGACTGTTTGGTTTTGTATGAATGCGCCACTGCGATCATGGAAACAGACAAAATGCATCGATTCGATGCTAATAACGTGCGACTTTAGGGTTTGTTAGAAACAGATTACTGCACTCATGCCTGTCAGATACCATTTTTCTTACAACTCGTTGTTTCAAAGCGTATCTAACGGGCGAAAGCTTTTTGAAAAAACTCGTTGTAAGATAAATTGTATCTGACAGGCAATTGTGTAGTATTCTCTTTATATCTGATGATACATTATTATCCTCGTTCGTCGCCCGGTTAGCCGTTGCACTATGGGCCGTATTTACTTCCAATGACATAACGCATGGAAAATGATCCGACACCATGTTCGTGTAGTACTGTGGTAAATTAGTAACTTGAACATAAACGGTAATCAACCAGACTTGCTTCGTCTCCTTTAAAGGGGCACTGATATTCAACAATTTCCCGGGACTGATTGCTGCCTTTGTTGTTGTGTACCGTAAGTACCCTGGTGATATCCCAGAAATCTCGACTAGTTCGCGACCTGTGCTGCGCCAACAGTAAGCGCATTTGTCGCTTTTATTTAATATTTCACCTGAGCATTGCTTATTCTATCGTTTGTACATGTTATAGCCAATGTGTAATATGACTAAAATTTTCACTTAGGCAATACATCAAACTTTTAAATATTCAGTTATTTTACAAATTGACTGAAAAATGTATTATAACGAATTCCAATAAAAAGCGTACTATTGGTTAATCTGTTGAACAAAACATCTTGTTTTTAAATAGGCATAGTGAACCTACCCATGTAAACACTTGTGACAAATCCACTGTGCAAGATAACAGCGATGAATCAATCAACGTATTTTCGGTTTAACCTTTGATGGATGTTGTTTTTTTGTAACTCAACTGATCATTCTTTCTTGCTGCGCTGTCACGTTCATTGTTCAGAACATGCATTTCCCCCAAGTTCAAACCTGGATTTGGATTGAATAATTACCCCAGACACAAGAAATGCCAAATTGGAAGTTTTGTCAGTGGTTCTACCACTAATTATATCTGTAATAAATTCATTAACCGAGCATCAAGTGAATGAAGAAAAATACACAGGTGTTGGGTATACCACGATAGATGGATGACAAGGGAGTGGCAATCGTATATAGACTATCCTTTATATGGTCTCCCTGGTGTTAGCCATGTCATCCGAAATCTAAAACTGCTTTCATTGCAGGGATTCATTTTGATTAAACCATAACCATCAGGGGTATTTCCATATAATGACATCGGATGGGCTTCCGCCGTTCTTTTTGTCTGTTTTATTAGGTTGAAGAAATTAATTAGCATGTGCGCATGCCCTTTGTAATATCGAAGACTTCATAGATCACGGGTAACCAATCAGTGTTAAGAAATGCGTATAGATATTGCCTCAAAGTTTATTTACGCTGTTATGGAAATGTTTGTTGTCACGTTTTATTTATGATTCCATGAACCGAAAACAAATAAGGCCACGTCCACTAACCGACTTCTGTGTCCTGATTGGCTGATAAAAGAATGGGTTGGGCTGTAGTTGCGTTATAGCGCTAAACGATAAACTGATTTTGTATGTTATCTACAGTTTCTTTTGTGTTAAGGATTAGAAAGACATCATGTGAAGTCATAATTTCAACGTATTTATTAATAAGAACTACTTCATATGTAGCCTTAGGTACAAATATGCAAATATTTTAGTGTACACGTAATTGACACTTACGTTTGTGCGGATGTGTTACATTTATGAACATAAACAAAAAGACATAAAGACTGTTCCCTGAATACATACGACAAGTATCGATCAATAACAATATATAGTTATTTAACATTTCGACTAATAGACAGCTCATAATCACTCAATGATAAACAATGCCAGTTCATGCAAGTCTTTCCTTTCTGGATGACGAATGAGTTGTATGACGCACATTTCTATAAGATCTGAAAATTAAATTAGTCATGGTGTAAAATTAACTGCAATCATTGAACTGGCTCGAGAAACCGACAGTGCTTTGTGTTGCCGAGATTTTGTTATACGTCAACTCGTAGCATATTGCGCCACATTTTTTCGTACACAAACAAAATACTGTCTAATTTCTGAAGGACTGAAATCTATATCAAGTTGATTTGCATGTTTATATATAACGTTATGCATTCGAGTTTGGTGATAATTTGCTGTGGATAACGACAATGTATTTTCGCATTGTTTTGTTCACGATTAACCCATCCATTCCAACGTCACCTCAAATAATAATTAATGAGGATATCATACTACACACATAGGAAGTCATAGCGAAATGGATGACCATATCTAACACGTGAATTAGTCCCTGGGTTCAAGCATTCACCTGATTGTGTCAGTGTCATGTGACTCATGGTGTACCATTAATAATCAAGTGCTTACAAATATGATGAAAACTGAAAATTTGACACAATTTCGTTTGACGTCATTACTTGTTTTATGTCTTTGGAGATGCGGCATTGAGACATGCTATATTGATCAATATAATTATATATTTCATCAACGTGCGTTCACCTGCAAAAACAACCTGGATGTGTAAAAAAGAATCTGAAACTTATTCGGCAACATTGATTTATGTTTACATCATGTAAGTAATGTCTTTGAAAAACAAAGGAGTTCGTTTATTTTTTTCCGATAACATAGACATTAATACTACATATAAAAAAGAAATCTATAAAGTCAAATCTGTTGTTAATATCGGAGGTATGTGTGTAATTAGAATGTGGTTATTCTCTTCAATTTGTCTCAGTATTTTACATATTTTAAGAATAAAATATGATTAATTTTGTTATTTAAGAATTGACGTGCAAGCTCCAACGTTCATACAGTTTGACCCTTACTCTATGGAAGCCCATCCTCGAACTCACACAAAATGTCAAATTGAATTCTTATCATGTTTTTATTTCACTATTTTATACCTCAAAGGATGTGTACACATCTTCAAATAGCACGTCATGTTTACACTGGCAACCGTAAACCAACCAACCTCACAAAGTCATAGTTACAACGGGTCGTACTGCATTGAAATAAAGAAGAAGACGTCTAAATGTAACAAGTGAGGTGTATAGGGTATTAACGTCGCTTTACAGATTATTGTACTGATATAGCTACGTGCATGTGTGTGTGTGTGTGTGTGTGTGTGTGTGTGTGTGTGTGTGTGTGTGTGTGTGTGCTTTTACTGGTTTGGATCAATGCCGATTTCATAGTGCTAGGACACTGAGATACCATGACGGAAAGATCCCTTCGGCACTCATGTTTGCGGCTTTTTTCTTTAACGAACTTTGGTTCGTGGTGACGTTTCAGAAATATAATTTGGTGTCTTGACAAATCAGATGTTCTATTTAATCTCAAACTGAGGTTGAAGGACAAAGACATACATGTCCCTGTGGTATTCAGGGGATAACAGTCTGTCAGACATAATCATGCCCTGTCGGCTTGACATGGTACGAACACCAACTTGGCGCACGTTGATGGCTGGGATTCCATTACGTGTGGCAGCTGATGGACACAGTCCCGTCCAGTGAATTGCCTGTTGTACTTCCCTTTTCACATGATGATACTGTTAAAACAGGTACGTTCTGCATTATTTGTTTGTTTGTTGTTTGAATCCGCACCCAGCGGTATGTCAGCTATATGACGGCGGTCTGTAAATAATCGAGTCTGGACCAGACAGTCCAGTGATTGACACCATGATCATCGATGTACGCTATTGGGATACGATGACATGAACCAACCAAGTCAGCGTGTCTGACCACCCGATCCCATTAGACCTGTTCTGACCCGGATCTTCACGGTAGACCTTCTGCATTAAAGTAGTGCGAGCAGGCAGTACGTGTATATGGGACACACATACTGATTACTATCTTTGTTTCAGTGATGGAGATGGACCGGAGCATCTGTGACCAGGAGATAACATGTAAGATCTGCGGCCTTGACTCAATGATGTTACAGTATATTATTCATTGGTTTTGTCATTCATTTTGTCTGTTGAGTTCGATAGGTTCGACCACTTTCGAGATCTAAACGAGCGTAAAACGCAGTGTCAGTCAATGTTAAAGTATAGGAGCTATGATAGGATTTGCGTTAGCGATGTTCCATGCAAGAGGTTCTTGGGTTTTCAATGTTATGTACAAGAAATATACAAGAGAGTGAGTGAATGAGTAGGGATTTACGCCACTTTTAGCAATGTTCCAGCAATATTACGGCGGGGGACACCAAAAATGGGCTTCACACATTGTACCAATGCGGGGAATCGAACTCGGGCCTTCTGCGTGACGAGCGAACGCTTTAACCACTAGGCTACCCGACCACCCCAATATATAGGAGAAGAACGCTTATGACATTTGAAATTGATATAACACTAAATTGTGACTTTCTTTTTCTGGTTGGTAGATACTAGTGTCTTGTGAGTTAGGAAGTTAAAGTGTTATACACTACAACAAGATGTGTTGGTATTTATTATGGACGTTTTCTTCCCACAGGCCCGACTCTGGAATGGGACTCAAGCACTGCTGATAACACTATTGACGTGTCTGGATGTGTAATCACAAACACCACCTTAGCCGTCCCTTCTCCTGACACAGGATGTCGGATACAAAATATCACTTCATGTCTGGCATCCAGGCCTTTAATGGTTAAAAAATGCCAAGGCCAGCGATGCATGTTTCGCGTAAAGTTTCGGGTTTGTGTAAAGGAATTGATACAAGATAATAAACTTATACAAGAGATTGCCCTGACCCCCACCCCTGTAGATGCTGTCTGTTATCAAGTCACCGGACTGAGTGTACGTGTTGTTACATGCCCCAACCACAAGCAGCAGCTGTGTCTCTGTGTAGTCTGTAATAACACCCTCTTCACTGATCGCCCTCTCATTCAGAACAGAGTTGGACAATCTATTGACCTACAACTGTGTTTTCTAATGGATGGGGCTAATGACAAAATATTAGTTATTGATGCCGGTGATAACAAAGTGTACACCACCGTCACAGATGTTGCTTTTGACAGACCCATGTGGGTCATGATGTATGTTGGTTATCCCGCAATATCAGATGTAAGAGGAGAACTGATTACAGGCCACAACATCACAGGAACCTTCGCAAACTACAATCATTAGACTAGTTTCCACTATCCACAACAATCACACACTCCATGTAACATGCAATGTATACAAGCACAGCTCAGTAAAATAATATGTATGCCCTTGACACATTACCAACTTGTGTACATATGTAAAAACACGTTTGGTTTACATATTTAATACAAATAGTAATGTAACCGTGACGATCCGGGTTAGAATCCTGCTTGCCGTAAGAGGCTACTATGCTTGTCGTAAGAGGCGACTAAAGGGATCGGGTGGTCAGGCTCGCTGACTTGGTTGGTGCATGTCATCGTATCCCAATTGCGTAGATCGATGTTCATGACAACAATCACTGGATTGTCTGGTCCAGACTCGATTATTTTCAGTCCGCTGTCATATAGCTAGAATATTGCTCATTGCGACGTTAATCAACAAACAAACAATGCAAGTCCGAATGAAATTTGAAGCCATAATAAAGCAACACGGCTGATGTTCAGTACTTTTCCTTAGTATCTTACTGTCGCAAAACATTAAGCGGCAAAGTGGACATTATTTGAACGCAGACTAGAATAACAAAGTTAGTGACTGAATATTCTCATGCTAGCATAAATTGCGTCTTACCTTCGAAGAGTGTAATGTTTTACAATCATATCAATTCTCATTTACCGAATATCGCTTGCTGACCAAGGCAAATACTATTTCAAGTAAATATGACACTGTGGTGTAGTTGTTGTGGCTCATTATGAATGCATGCACACATGTAGGGAGAACAGTACTATTGCGAGAGGAATATAGATTTGACAGTAACTTTGAAAGTATTCGTTGAAATCATCTGAGGATTGCAATATCACCTCAGTCAACGTGTGGTTACAGATAATTTATGGGAGATAACTCGTGTGGTACAACTTGGGCACCACCACATCTCTATCCCCGCTCCATATCGATACACCCTCACCTGTAATCAACTCATTTGAACAGTCCCGTGATTTTTGTTATTACCATGTTTTACTGCAATTGTAAATAGCACGGATTTGTGTATTTTCATTTTTTAGACATGATGATGTACTTTTTCATCTGATATCATGTTTTCTACCTCGACCAATGTTCATGACGTTCACAAAGGACTACGTCATTTAATGTCAGCGAGCTTGTTATATATAAAGCTATGTCAATCATATGACGTCATTTGAGTAAGTAAAAATACCTCCAAGGTAAGGGCTGGACTGAAAAATATATTATCATTAGGGTTTTTATGACTCAGGGCACGGGCTGCCCAGTCGTCCAATGCGCCGTAGCTCGATGTGTCATGGACGGGACATAGTCAGGAGGCCGTGCTTTCCAATTTCATACTTAGATTAAGGTTCTTGGTTTATGAGTAATATTTCCTTGATTAAGGTTTTCATTCATCATTAAGCTGACGCGCTCTTATTTAACTGAGCTACTGCTCAAAGGAGCGTTAAACCTTACACACTCCAACCCAAATTACTTTGACGAAACAATAATGATGGCTAACTTCACCTAGTACATCCACTCGTGAAATATGAACGTGTTTTCCTCTCTGTGTGGTTATGTGGGATGGGGTGAGGTTGGTTAGGATGGGGTGAGGTTGAGGTGGGTGGGTTTTGGTTTGGGGTTGGGTATGGGGAGTAAGTCGTATTCAATGATACCTTTTCGAATGGTAGTTTTTAAGTGACTTCGCCCCTTGTATAATATCAAAGGAAAGAAATCATCTGGTAAAATTTGTGGTCATGTTATTCTCTGTGGAATTATTATCCAAAGTTCTTTCCGCATTGAATAATCAGTATCAGCAGTCATAATTTATGTTTCTACTCTCTACAATATATAACGTTTCTGCCTTGTTTCCTTAAGACATTGGTACTTATATTTCTTGCAGGAAATAGAACCAAAGAGCCTCATTAGTATCAATGTTGTATACTTGCTGTGTAGTCGAACACTACTTGCGTTAATGCTGCTGTACATAGCGCGCGCGTGTGTGTGGATTGTTCCTTATTGTGAAAGATATACACTTATTATACATTTAAGATGTCACCATGAAATGTCTTAAAGTGTTCATTTATTGTGAAGTTGTGCAAGTGTATACAGCAATTCACAATGTTAGTATTATCTATATATGTATATTCGTATTATGATGTTATATTAACTGGATAATGAATGAAAAAGTGAAGTGCAACATATAGGTTATGTTGCAATGTTTTGAATGGGGCTTCAAAATTGCTTGAATTTGTGTGAGAAACATCGTCATTTAGAATATAAACTTACCCTGTTTTGAAATTTGATGTAGTCCCACTGTAGAGGAGATGCCTCTTACCTTAATTTGTAACCGAGCGCTTTACACGAACCAAGATCTATGATGTGGTTCCACATTAACCTGTTGATTTATTGGGAATGAGCCTGTTGGTGCAACGTGATTGCCAATGGAACTGGAACAGCTGCAATTTAGGCTGCAGATGAGTGACACGACACGAGTGATTTGTGACCTGTCAGTTTCAAGATTTCACGGCATTCGACGCCAATATTTGAAAGAAATGTGACAGTTTTGGCTCTGACACAGAGGTTCTGTATAATTAGTGAGAAAACGCTACATTCACCATGATCTATCGTTAGTTTCGCTCTATGAAGTAGTGTCCTGTGTAAACATTAGTGTCTAGTAGACAAGACAACTATGTATACGCACATAGGCTTCAAACATTCCATTGATGCACTGAGTGCATCTGCTGAAATGTCAACAGTCAAGGCTGGTGAAAAATAATCGTGTGAAGATCATTGTTTCCACCCTGGACATCCAGACTAGGCCTATTTTGGAAGATTGACCGTTGTTGCTTCAAGGTAAATATTAATGTCAATGACTTTATTGCTCTCACATATACTTTTGTGGATTTTGTACTACCACTATAGTGTGTCCACCCGTTGTAATTACTTTGCAGCAATTTGTACCGATTTGTAAACTTAGTTAATTCTATATGATAGTTGTTGTTTGTATAGCATTTCTTTGCCTTTTGTTGGGTTTCACACTAAATGATTTTACACATGGATTTATTGGTCAACTTGTTTCAATTTGGACGTCGACACGTAGCATTACACAATCTAAATATATCACTTAACAAATGCAAAGAATGTGTAATTTAATATTTGTCCCTTCGTTGATTTGAATATTAATAAAACTATCAAAATGTATTTGTCAACTTGCACTTTTTTATTTATTTACACTGTAGATCTAGAATAAGTCCTGATAACCGCATGCATGCTGAAAAAGGCAACTCAAATACGGATCAGATGTGACTAGGTTGATAGTATGCCAATGGGCATGCATGTTGCTTTCAACCACCGGTAAGCCTGATCTATCACACAAGTCATGGCAAGGGAAATAACGTGCTCGCGATGTCAATGTTAGGTTTTAGGTACTCATATGCAGTACATAGCCTAACATATTTGTTGGTTTGTATGTAGCGTAAACCTAACACAAGTGTTTTCAGTATATATCACTGTGTCACATCGCCAATACATCATTGCCGTGTTTACACTTTATCGAATAGTTTAACATCGGTTTTTAAGATTCTAGATAAACATACAGCTTTAAACACATATCCACTTCAGAGAGGCTTAAATATACTTAATATGTGCAATATCTTATGTCTGTCGTGCCCGTCGTGCTATAACAAACCATTTACATGTGACGGTTATTACTCTATCAAGACATAGTCCTATTTTGAAGCTCAGGGTCACTAGTTACGAAATGATCATACAAATTAAACTGTGTTTGACCCGAATAACATCAGATTTTGTGGGAGATTGTTATACAATTAAATGAAGGTAAACTTCTGTACCTTTGTTGCTCTGGTATTTTTTCCAATCCCCACAAGCTGATAACTCTAAAATACATCAAATGTCCTTGTCATTTTTTCCCTATATGCATGAACACAAGTGTAAGGGAATACATAATAGTCATGTTCCAGAAAACCACATGCAATGGAAATATTCACAGTGCGTTGTACATATGAACATATATATCTAAATGTCACGTACATGAATGCGATTTAGTGAAATGTTCGCCCAGATTGCAGACGCAGGATAATCAAGCATATGCCAATAGAAGTTAGCATTTTATCAATGTCAATTCCATGGCCTCTCACGCTTCTCCACCGTCAACATTTTCTTCAAAATATGTAAGGCTTAAATTCAACTTTGTATATGTGTTTTGTTGTTCAACGCCGCACTCAGTGATATTCCAACTTTATGACGGCAGTCTGTAATTAATCTGGTGATTGACATTATGAGCATCGATCCACGCTATTGGGATACGAAGGCATCAACCAAGTCAGCCAGCCTTACCACCAGATCTCGATCGCCTCATACGACAAGCATAGTCGCCTTTTACGGCAATCATAGGTTGCTGAAGACCAAGTTTTAGCCCGGATCTTCACGGGTCTGTCAGATATGTGGAGGACATGTGACTCAAATGATGTCAGATATAATTCCCTATGTCAACTTGTACCATATGTTCCCCCGTTTGTTCTATATTTCAAATTACAGGAACCACCAACAATGCCATTTTCCAAAGCGAGCACCATTTCATCCAGGCTGTTCAATTAAAGGAAAGTGTTGCAGAACGTGGACTTGGCAGCTCATAATGTGAATTCCACTACCTGTTCCTTCTAAGACATAGCATGTACCAGCCTATAGGTCATATAATCACAGGTGACTTCTCTTTTGTTGACAATAATAACATTCGTCAGTCATTCAAATATGGACCAAAATCATTCCAATGAGCAGCATCATTCCAATTGGGATCACAACTGTAAATCTTAGGGATGCTGTCGAAGAATATGCCAATAAATGGGGCAAAGGAGAACAGGAACCTGTGAATGTCCTCCAGAGTGGGTTAAGTCTGTGCGTGGTGTTGTCAGTGGTAGAATGCACAAACTGAAAAGAGAGGAAATAGAAATGGAACAAACCAATTCTGTCCCAATCAGCAGTCATCCAACTTCTGGCTGCCCTACATGAAAAGTCGTTGTTCCCACTGGCAAGGCCTCAAATAACATAACCATCACATGTAAGCATCCTACACACATTGGTTCATCAAAGAATTTGGAATAAGTGACATATCAAATAATGCCACCTATAAGGCCAATATGTTAACTGCCATGCATCAGCATGTCACGTCAAAAAATGAAATCCCGTATAATCTGCCAAAACCATGCATCAGTACTATCAACTTTTGACTTGACTAGAAACCTGAAACCATATTTACTCCTAGTTTGTACTGGATTCCAAAGCTCCAACGAAATCCGTACAAAGAGAGATATATAGTTGGGTTCAGCAAATGTACCACCAAATCCATGTTTTAAAGATTAACCATAATCTTTAACACAATCAAGGAAGGACTTTCTTTATATTCACAAAAAACTATTTCTCCGTCAGTAATATCAGTCGGTAATCTTCACATATTTATCGAAATGTCACCATGATATTTAACTTTTGGAACATATACGTATCTAGGTCAGTGGAGTAAAAGTTTGACAGGTGTCCATTTGTCCTTAACTGTGTCCCTTATCACACTCATTCAGTGAAGGGGAAATCCCGTATAATCTACATCAGATGATCCGTAATCTATTACACAGCTGCCCCGTGTGTACATTACAACTTATCAAAAATGAATTTTCACACTAATGGTGTATACATTTTAGCATTTAAATATTTAATGATAACAGTTTTAAAATCCACTGACTTTGTCCTTTCACAAAAGTAAATCAATGTGTACCAAGTAGAGACAACATTGCAGGCCAAGGTTTGCTGTTCTCTCTTGAAGAGAATTCATTAGTAGGGAGTTTATGATGAGGATTGTCTTTACATGCACCAGAAACAATATCAACATAACCAACGAAATATTGTAATTCTATTCCAATCATATTTGGGTGAGTGGGTATTGTCTAATGCAGCTGTCAGCAATGCTCAAGCTATATAACGGTGGACTTTATGTTTGGATAGACCGTCAAGTGGCGGATCACATTAGCAACGTCCCACGCCTTCAGGGTAGGCCGACACTCGATAAGCATGTCACTATAGTTAGGTCCGACCAACCGATCACCACTAGTTGCCTGGTACAAACAATACGAGTGTTTGGGACCTATTCGCTCCCTCATACATTGACATATACAACATCCCCAGAAGGTTATTCTCTATGAAACAATATACTTTTCCGGATCTCTTTTGCACATCGGCATCAATGTGTGTTGTATTTCTGCTCTTTGTCAGTTTAATCAATTAAAGTTTGTCTGACACGTACATCATTTATACGAAATTGTGGCAAGTTAAATATGGTCATTCTCAAAGAAAGTTGATTGCAACGTTGTTTATACAGTATTTCGGTTTATCACGATGTGTGACTACAATGTAGGAGTAAAATCTTAGGTGACCGTTTCAATGTTTTGTTTCGTTAGCACGGCTGTCAGGCTGAAAATCCCCATTTCATAACTGAAACATTTACGGGATTCCAACAAAAGCTTAATTGTGGATGAAGTCATTTTGGTGTAACCAAATAGCAGGGGTATGGTACCGATTAACCATGGACTATAATCAAGGTGATCATTGGCTTTTTCTAACCCATGATGACATATTTGCACACTGCTGATTGACATAATCCTGCAAAATGATTGCTCCACCTTGTAACACAGGGCGTCCTGTAATTTTGGACTATTGTACGGAAAGTATAGGTATAGGTAAGACTGCTCGGAGCCGATGTTTTATAGTTGAAATCGTCAGTTATACCCTGAAGTGCAACATTCATTTCCCCTTCAATACTGTAGTCCTTATTGTGATGCTATATCCCTAAATAAAGCAAGTCTGGATTCTTCAGAGGTTCTGAATCCCCCATCTCATTGGGGTTCCTTTTCAATTTAAGTGGTTTATTTCTATCAACATTAAATATTTTCAAAGACTATGAGTAGGTCTACACATGTACTTGGCTCGGAGGCAACTATGGTTATTTAATGCATGATGCGGAACACGTATTCAGATTAGATAGGACCATCTCGAGCACATTTGTTGATCACATAAATATTACATGTTGTATTTAGTCGTGTACAATAGACCGGCTCTGTGGTCTGGTGGTAAAGCGCCCGCCCGGAGAGCGAAAGGTCCGGGCTTCGATCCCCGGCCACGTCATACCAAAGACGTTAGGTTAAAAGATGGTACTTGTTGTTACCCTGTCTGGCGCTCGGCATTAAGGACTGGTCGTCTCGGAGTCAGTTTACTGAGAGGGGTGTGCGTTACATACTGCTGCATGGTATCACATTTGGCTTGGACTATGAAATCGGCATTAGTCAGGACTAGCAAAAGCAGCCACACATGTAAACACACACACATGCATGCACGTCGCTATATATCTGCAATAATCATGGACGCAACGTCATACCCCATTTCACCTCACCTCGTACATAATACGCACTACGAATTTTTATAACCAGAATTGTTATACACAAAAACAAAATATTACCACCTTTTACCCATCACAGCAGGTGGCCATGCAACAGAAGGGTATGACCAGAAATTATCGTTAGCTACATCCAGGGATGTATAAGCATATTAATAATGATGATATATTAATGTTTATCACTGCTTCTTTGTCTCAGCTACTGATTTGTAAAATTAACATGAAATAGTTTTTTCTCAAAACGTTTGTTGTTATTCTGTTGGCCATGTACCTGGCCATGCCAGATCATCAGTTCAACAATCAATACACACCCAGCGTTTGAATGAAAGTACTAAAACTACCTACAAAACAAAATTCATAAACATTTTCTGAAGTAAATATATGCAAATATCCCTATAATTAAATGTAGTTTTGAATTGATCAAACCTAGCATAACACCTCTGCCATAAGCTAATTTGCATGTCGCCGTGACCGGACTTTTCTCTCGTTTTTAAACAAACACTGAAATCAGAACAGACTGGCCTAATGCAAGTCTTTGGTGCGCTTAACGTATTGTTTTGCATAATTATATAGGTATGCTACTACAACTGCGACAGTGAGGTGCCTGACAATATATATTTATGCATCAAAGTGACTCGTATCGCCAGCTCTCCGCAGTGTAACTTGAAGGAAAACTACGCAAATGGAAATATTTTGTTCACGTCTTGGGATACGTTGTCAATGAAAGTTAACCATGCCATATGTTTATCTAGATGTGTAGACTCATCAAAAATGAATCCGATGAAAAACATGCAGTATCTTGAATGGACTGTGATAGATGTGACGAATGCTGTCCTCGTGGAACTCTGGGTAGGAGAGTGGACCGGACGGTGTCAAGACAATTTATGCCTAAACCAAGAACTGGTAACGAAATACATGCAGATCTAGGTCTTCATCTCGGGTGGCTTGCCATATCTTTTTTTACCAAAGGGCTTTTTGTTCCTCCTTTCAATGGGAGTTCTCCTGTTTCAACTTGTAGTGCTAACATTTGTCTTTGTGTTGTATTCTGTCGAGGCGGCTCAAAACAGTGCTGATGCTGAAAGAGCTTACAACCATAGTCTATTGTTTTAATCTGATTAGTGATCTGTAGAAGTTCGGTTGAGTGTTCCTAATGGCGACCTGTCTTGCAGGAAGCTGTCTATGTACTTTGCCATGCTCCCTTTTTTCCATTTGGTGCTAGTTTGGTGAGTACATCATTCCATTCACCATTTTATTCAGTATTTCAGTCAGCATTCACAACAAATCTCACTAAACACTCCTTATGTAATACATTTGATCGTGACATGGAATCTGTATCTCCACGCCTGACAGCCTGAAATGATAATATAGAAACATCAGTGCGTTTTTCTACAAGAGAGATCATATATTTTCCAGGTTTAAATTGCCTATAATTGCAACAATAAGGGGTCTGTCATACACAAAACTAGGGATACCTCTTCTGGTTTGACAAGTGTTTCCATTGTATTACTTATATGTAATCGGAATCGTGCAATGGATTTAGCTTTTAGCAAGGATTGCGTATGTTCATGGAATTGTTTTTTTGCATTTATTCTAGACAGGTCCTTTGTTTATTAATGTTTTCCAGCAAAATGACCGTTTCTAGACTTCTCATTGTCATAATATGATTACCCCCCTCCACCATGATATATATGATAGATTTAGATTAAACGGTTTGAAGGCGTTCCTCTCACTCAGTATGACGTTCCAAATTAACCTGAAATTGGGCATATACAACATATACAAAACCTTAAAAAACATACAAACATTTCAATGCTTGTGTCCCGCCTTTCGCAAAAGTATTTTCATCCATATAGTCAGTACTAGGGAATTTTACCTCCTCTTCTGGAACAATTTCGACCAGTTAACAAAAAATACAAACACATAGATCAAGCAAGATAGATATCACATATTCATAGCTATACAGTTAACTTGTTCCGCCCGATCAGTGTGAAAATCCACATTAACCTAGATTAACAGTGAATCTTTGAACATATATACTTTTGATAGAAACAAGCAACATTATATAAATTGAATAGGAGCCACAGTGAGATGAGAGTTTTGTGGAAAATCTAGACTTGCGTTATTTAGGCATATATCATAACAGTAAAACCTGGACGTAAGGGGAAGGAATATGCTTTAGGGACAGTGAGACAGCCTACACATTATTCCTGACACTGGTATGAATTCATATCTCAACCGTCTGCACGAGGCGCAAGTGTGCCCACACGGCGTGATCGAAGTACATTGTCAAAGCTGACCTACTTTACCGTTGTACCTTGGAGGTATTCGTGATTTCCGGGTTGTGCTGATAACGAAAGTAGCTACTGCGCGTGTGCAGATAAGGTGAAGGTCCAGTATTGTTTGTGTACATGTATATAGGCAACCAACTGTACTCTCTGCTGTCAGTTCTCGTAAGGTAAGAATGTTAATCTGTCTGTTAATGGGAGAGTGTCTTGGGGTGGAGGTTAGGGGGTGATTAACATTTGTAATGCAGCAGCTTTTCTGGTGGAATAGCTAGTTAATAGGTTGAGGGGATTCAGAGTTTTACACCGACTTCAATAGTATTCACCGTATATACCATATTTTCTCTATCAGTCGCCGTATCAACGTATCGCGCGAACGTAATAGACGTCGAGGCGTCTAATTGAGGAAATACAGTGCCCATAAGCCTACAACGGTCTTAAGTCTACAATATTCATGAATGGGCGGAGCTTATGTGACCACGTCACACTTGTTTCGTACGCACTGCATCTCACCTGAACACGGAAGTGCATCGGACTTCTGCCGAGTTGTGACACCATACAGCGTATATGCCGGCACTCCATTGTTTGCGGTACAATCACTATAACCTAAACAACCTGTAACTTCTTTGTTAAATAAGCAAACGATCACATCAGTGAATCCCTGTGAAATGAACAAAGCGAACTGTATATTACAAAGTGGTGTTTAAAGATTGTGTAGCTTTTAGGCAAGAATGTCACGGTTTGAGATGTAATCTCTTAGTATGCCACATTTCTTTTTGTCATTTAGTCCTGGAAATTAAATACTGGAAACATGTGCTGAATATATTAAAAATAAAATGAAATCTCAAAGAAATATGAAAGTATTTCTTTCTTTATTTTTTCACACCAGTACGTCATAACAACACTGTTGTTGAGGTGCTTTATGTTGATGCGTCTTGCGAAAACGAACATAAAACCTCAGTCTAAACGAAGACATAAGTAGCTTTTAATTTAGGCATCCTAAATATTAATGATTTTTGTTTGTTTAGTTGTTTTTGGAGCACTCAGCAACGGCGGTCTGTAAATAATAGACTCTGGGCCAGACAATCCAGTGATCACCATCAGGAACATGTATCTAAGCCATTGGGATACGATGACAAGCATTAGCCAAGTCAGCGAGCCTGACAACCCGATCCTTCTAGTCGGCTCTTACCAAAAGCATGTATTGTCGCAGGCCCACAGGCATAAATAACAGTAATGTTTTATTGGGGATGTATCCCCACTGGCATTATAAGTAGTAGTAAGATTCAAACCAACTTTCATTATATATAATAGTAATGTTTATTGGGATGAAGATTGAACCCAAAGGCATTATGAACAGTAGAAATGTTTTATTGAGATGAAGATTGACCCCAAAGGCATTATAAATAATAGTAATGTTTTATTGAGATGAAGATTGACCTAAGCTATTTGAAAGTAATTGGTCTGTATCATAAATTTTAAATATGTATGTGAATAATTAAATGCTTGTTTTTATTTGGTGTGATGCTATTATGAACTGACATTATTGTGGGCTCTGTCCAGGAGCTGACTTTGTGTGCTGGCGATTAGGTGCCTCACCCTGGCAGGTGTATGTTCGAATCCCGCACGGTACTCAACCCAAAAAAAGTACTAGAATCTGTACTTTACTAAGAAAGTGTTATCCCAAATATAACATTAGTTACATTTGATCACTTTCTAAATGGCATTGTGTATTCATACTGTCCAGGTGGGTAACGTAGCGTAAAAATATTGTCCCCATGTGTGATCCTATCATAATCGAGATCACTATCATGTTGGAACAGCTCCCCCTGGCGGTCCAAAGTTGGGAGGAGGTGATGACGCAGAATTTGGTCTATGTATTGGTTTGCTGTAAGATTGCCCTGGACAACCACTAACTGTGATCTATCCGTGTAGGATATGGCTCCCCACACCATGACACTCCCACACCAAATCGGTGCACCTGTCGAACGCAGTTCGGCGCAAAACGTTCATGTCGACGTCGGTATACACGCTGTCTTCCATTCCGTCGTTGAAGAAGAAAACGTGACTCAACGCTGAACCAAACGCGTCGCCAGTTCCTGAGATCCCATGCCTGTACTCTGTTGCACCACCGGACACGTCGTTGACGGTGTAGACGTGGCAAGACAGGTCCAACTTTTGGTCGTCTCACTCGAATTCCCACTTACCTCAGACGATTTCTGATGGTTTGGTCGGAAATTCTTCCCACATCAGGCACTTGTCCTTCAGTGTCCGTTGCTGTAGCAAATCGATTCCGAATGTGATGTAACCGGATGTACCGATCCTGAGCAGGGGTGGTCACTCTTGGTCTTCCACTTCTGTGATGATCTTGAGTCGAATTAGTGCTGGTATATCGATCCCATAATCGAGATATGGTGCTTTGGTGAATGTTGAAGTGTCTTGCAACGGCAGACTGGGACTCCCTTGCTTCCAAACGTCCAATGGCGATATTTCGGTCAGCTGCAGTTAATCTTGGCATTTTACGATCTCCGTTCACGTCAGAAAATTCGTAGTGAACTGTTGAATTTTGTACGGTCTTTTATAGTCAGTGTCTCTACTATTGTTTCCAACACTTTGCACGTGCATTGTGCTGAAAACGTTTTCTGAAAGCAATTTCCATGCATCCTTTGCATTTTTGCTGATAAACGTTTACAAAAAAACACATTTTGAATTGTGCTTGCGCGCAGTGCACAACAAACATGACACGATTAACGGGAAGCAAACATAAGAATTGTCTTTATGACGATTGCTTGGAAAAAAATCTAATTGGAATTCTCAAAACACCTATGCGTTTCTTTTTTGAAGAGTGTATTTTATACAAATAGGGCATCATATCATATACTGTTTGGAGATAAAAGTTGTATCACTCTAACACCTGGAACTGTTTGTAATATTGTTTACTTTATATATTCTACGTGCATGAGGACCATAGTTAAGCAGTACAGAATGAATGAAAGTGTCTCAGAATCTCTGCTCATATGGATTGCACATTCCTGAACCTCTGTCTCTCCGACACATATGAATAAATAGAGAAAGGAACTCAAGTCTAGAATGATTTGGCCAGTCCTAAATGCCTGAGCCCTGGGCCTGATTAATAAACATTGTTCTAGGTGCTATTTGGATTTTATTTTACCTATTTATTTTACAAGCATGATAACTCTTTGTTTCTTGGACAACCTGGAATCTTATCAGGGTTTCTGAAATAAATAAAATATAGTTGTATCTTGTAGTTAACCACCTTATGCCATGCGCAGAGATTGCTTTGCTCTTGCATATAACAAGTAGGGAAAGATATATTGTATTAGTATGGAGCTTGGTGACAAAAGGTTTTTACTGTGTTGGGTATGAAAGTAATAGCAAAGACATGTCAATGTTTCGATCAGGGCTACTGTGCATCACTGAATGTTTCGGAGATGGGCGAGTTGGGTTGACTCAGTAATTCGCGTAAATTTCGATCTGTCCGAAGTCGAGGCTTGCAAATACAGTACAGCACAATCTTCAAAGACACATAAACTACATGTTATATACCTGATGTGCAGATTGTGAGTTAAACATCGTATCACGCAATGACAGCCGAGACAGCGATGCGCTCGTTAGACGTCAACTAGTTTAGCGGAAGATAGTGTCACGTGCATACATAAGCCACGCCCACTCACGAATATTGTAGATTTAAGACCATTGTAGGTTTAAGGGCACAACATACGTATGATATTTAATTATTTTGGCATTTGCATACAAATGATAAAGTTTATATTTATAACGGCAGTTTCCTCTTTGAAAGAGACTATAATACAATTAAGCTATAACATTGTAAAACAATGTTTTATTCTTTTTATTCATGACAACTTGCCGTTGACATTACAACTTGCTAATTAGAATCGTGCAAGGCATTTTTGGTGTGTCCTTTAGGGTCCGACCATTTGATTTGATTTGTATCGAATAAAACATTGCTCGAAAAAACCCTAAAATGCATCATACTGTTTGAATAAAATACACTTGTTTGCCACAAAGAAACATTGTTGCAAAGTGTTTAATAAAAAATATTCAGGGCTCATTGCTTTATTTAGAAATGGGCGGTCCCTTCCACAAGCAAAGATGACATGTATGGCTAATGTCATTCCCACCAGAAGCGTGACATCTTAAAACTGTAAGAATAAAATAGATATGGAGTACATTGACACGCATATAAGTGTGCTAGAGTTCTGACCTTTGTCATTGTGATTTCCCATTAGATGTTTTGCAGGTAACCAGGAGTATTTGTTCGAATCCCATATTCACCCCAATAAATTGCTCTTGGTTTGTCTGCACCATATTCAAGCTCGTGAGTTTCTACACTGTTACTTTAAACGTTCCTCCCACATTATGCTGACATGTCCTTATATCACTGAAATATTGTTTAAAGCAGACTAAAGCCCAACACCACTCAGGTAATCATCCGGGGCGAAATAAACTATTAGAATATCGCTTGTTTACCCACTGCACAGGGGTTTTACTTGAGGTAAAACATGTGAAATCCCGAATCTGTTCTTGTCTCTTATCAACAACTGTATAAAACGTGTATACTACATTGTAACAGACGTATGGGTTGATGACGTGTCAATATGTATGTGTACGGGTGTGTATATGTGTCTACTCTTAGAAGCAGATCATATAGAGTTTCCTCTTTGTGGATATTTGGGTTGTCATTGTTTCCCAATTATGCCTTTGATCATTGAATGCTTAACAACGACAGTACATACACATTAGGACTACCTCATTACAGATTCTTTTTCAATTTCATATAACATAATCGTGATGATTTTCCTTTGCCAGACATCATGTGGGATCTTGTCTCAGTTGCTGAGATCAAGGATCATCTGACCGAGTGTCCAATATGTAAAGAACACTTTGATGAGTCGACACGAATTCCACGTCGTATGCCGTGCTGTGTACAGTCCTTATGTCAACCATGTCTAGAAACCTGCAGTAGAGGCACAACAGTCTTAGACTGCCCCATGTGTCGACATCGACATTACCTTACAGGCGGTGTTAAATCTCTTCCCAAAGAGACTGTCATCCTGAAGTTTCTGGACTACCTCAAGATCCAGAAAGGTCTCCATCTTCCATGTTCAGATTGTCCTGACAAGGAAACGGCTGTAGCCCAGTGTGACAACTGTGGAACATTTTTATGTTCCATCTGCCTAAATGCTCACAAACGAAATATGGTAACAAAAGCCCACACAATAAATACCTTCCACGAGATGAAGGGCCGACCTGTACAGAGTTTCCGTCGTGTACATCAGTGTAGTCACCACCAACAACCTCTACAGTTCTACTGTCACACTTGTGACAAGGTTGTCTGTGTGTCCTGCACTGTAGTAGATCACGATAAAGGGAAGGGGCACAACGTCCTGTCCGTGGATGAAGCACACAAAGAAAAGATAAAATCCACTGATGAAGTTTTGGTCAAGATGGAGGAAAAGACGAAAAGACTGAGCAAAACAGAGTCAGATCTTAACATGAAGATAGAGGACTGTCAAAGCGCGTATCAAGAGATGATATCAACAGAGTCTTTGACAACTTGATCGATGCTCTGAAGCAAAGACAAAAAATCCTTCTGTCTGATGTTGAGGAGAAATCAGCTAAAAGTCTCAAGCTAACAGAGCAGGCGCTGGATGCAACAAGACTACTGCTGAGGAATGCGAGGTCATCTATAGAATACACGCGACAGATGAGCAGCACAGCTGACAGGATAGAATACATGTTGAAGGAGGAGTCACCAAAGGAAATACCCTTCGTCATGACTGGAGTTAATTTTGTCCAAGCAAATGTAAAACATCTTCAGGATACTATCAAGGTGGCAGGAATGGTCAGATCAGTCACGTTCTCCCCAACGGAGACGTCGCATGGTGTGGAAGATTCTGCAGCATACACCGCTATCATTGTGGAACCAGCCGAGTTACCTTCAGGTAGGTAGTACTAAATAATATATTTCTCATGGAAATAACAGATACGATAGACAGACAGTATGAAGTAAGTGTACGAAGCGTATAAAAGGGAAATCACTCAACATAACTGCAATACAACATGTTAAACACGCGTGATTTTACTTTACTGATTTCACTGTAAAATATTGACAAGGAGTTCTTTACATTTATAAATTCGAGCAATATTTGGTAAAGTTGGTTGGTTGGTTGGTTGGTTGTTTAACGCCGCACTCAGCAATATTCCAGCTATATGACGGTGGTCTGTAAATAATCGAGTCTGGGCCAGACAATCCAGTGATTAATTTCATGAGCATTGATCAAAGCAATTGAGATCGACGACATGCATCAACCAAGTCAGCGAGCCTGACCACCCGATCCCGTTAGTCGCCTCTTACGACAAGCAGAGTCACCTTTTACGGCAAGCATGGGTCGTTGAAGACCTATTCTAGCCCGGATCTTCACGGGTCATATTTGGTAAAGACCTATTTTAGAACAATAGATTTTTGGTTCTCATGTAAATTAAATATCATACTCATCCTCAATTTCACAACTGTCACAATGTGTACATACACAATGAAACACCTGAACAACAGATCCTTTTGTTATAAGATCCAACATGGGCAAAAGCAGTAGGGAAAAAAGGTCTATCCCAAATTTTCTTTTCAAGGTGTCATCCCAACCTTTTAACATTAAACAACAATCTATCCCCAACAACCTACCCAACAGCTTACAACTCTATATTGGCACTGGACATGCATACTGTAACCTCAGCTCCCCAAAGTATGGCATTTACTACATTTTCATTTCACAAATAATATTATTGGAGACTTGTTTCCATCAAACAATATTGTAGCTGGCTCGAAATATAAATGGCTTTTGGTCTTGAGCAATTTATAAATGGGAATAAAAACATTTGATGCTGGTGTAGCCTACAAGGCAGGATGAAAAACGCTATACCCAGGTATTTGTAGTAAGATACTACAATTTTCAGTCGTATGTACATCGAATTTATTGTATGTTTCTGATGCGTTCGAAAAAGATCCACCCGTCGTCCCAAGACGGTTTTCTTTGTTTGCTAAATTACATGATTTCCTACTTTTGTACAACGTTCCCGTCTCAAGACTTAATTACGTGACGCTATTCCAAAGAAAATGTAGTATTGATTGTTGTCATGTCTTTCTATGTGGAAATGTTATACTATGTGCCACCCGCAGTGATAAATCGGTATTAAGGTTTGGAGTTCTGATGCATCTGAACAAGTGAGAAATGTCAAAACAGGGATTTGCATCATTCTTGTCACTGATGCGTCAATTTTGGAAATGTTATCAACGTCAAATGTCTACCATACATGTTTTTGAAAACTTTACTGAGGCCTTGAATTTTGTAACCTTGATCAAACAACTTTTGAGCAAGAGTCCTATGACTCTTTTTGAAATCGTCAAAGAACAGCATGCTCGATTGCACCTCAAAACAATGGAAACCCCAAAGACCGGACCCGCTGGATTCAGCTTGATATCAAGAGGAAATTGACTACTGGAAAGTTGAAGTCATCACTCTAGTTATACGGTCTGGTGAATTTGTTTGGCTATTCTGAATCTTTATTCATAAATATAAATATGAAACTGATGAGGCGGTATCATTTGTCTCTTTTATTTCTACTTCATGTTGGTTGGTTGGTTGGTTTGTTGTTTTACGCCGCGCTCAGCAATATTCCAGTTATATCACGGCGGTCTGTAAATAATCGAGAATAGACCAGACAATCCAGTGATTGATATCATGAGCATCGATCCACGCAAATGGGATCGATGACTTCATGTTGGTAAATCAGTGGAAGGGAATTGGCTATTTAGCCATAATGGAATTATATGAGATCAAACGTATTATCCAAATTACCTAGTTTTGACTTTGCCAAGCAGGGCAGAAATTCTGATCCATATGTAAAAAGAACAGATAAGTAAGAAGGGGAGCAAAACTGATGCCCAAGGTGATGACTTCTTTCTTGCCTAAATATCTACGGCAAATATTCAGATGCATCAGAATGACACGACCCCGTCCAGTGAAGTTTGTACTTCTGTTTCATCCCGCGATACTGTTATAACGGGTAATGTATGCAATCAAAATGGTAAGAGCAGGCAGTCCGTGTACATGGGACACACATAAAGATTAATATCTTGTTTCAGTGATCGAGATGGACCGGAAGATGTCTGACCAGGAGATAACATGTAAGATCTGCGCCCTTGACGACATGATGTTACAAGATATTTTTCATTGGTTTTGTATCTGTCAGTTGATTTCGAGAGGTTACGACCGCTTTCGAGATCTGATCTTTGTGCTTACCTTTTGATAGTTTAGTACAGAAGTTTTATTAGTGGTCGCGTTAGCAATGTTGCATATCATGCATGTGTTGCCTGATCTTTGAATGTTATGTAATAGAAGTATGTAGGAGAAGAAAGCCTCCTTGATGTAGTGGATAAAAACGTCCGTCCGGTGAGCGGAATGTCGGAGGTTCGATCCCCAGTCACGTCATACCAAAAGACATTAAAATATGGTACTTGTTGTTACCCTACCTGGCGCCCGGCACTAAGGGAACAAAATTAGGACTGGTCGTCTCGGAGTCAGCATACTAAGTGGGGTATCCATGTTAAAATTGTGGCATGGTATCTCAGTTGGCTAGCACTTCGGCAGTCGTCCTCACTAGTACAAGTAGCCACACACATACAAACACACACTTACATACACACCCTCGCGCGCCCGGGCATGCATGTAATACGTGTAATAATCCTGAAGTTGTATATATTAAACCCAACTTAACCACCTCACCAGAGAGAAGAAGAACGCCTTGGCTTTAACACTTCTAACTTAATACATAATAGATCAATGATAGCTCATAGTGAGTGAGTGAGTGAGTTGGGTTTAACGCCGCTTTTAACATTATTCCAGTTATATCACGGCGTGTCAGCTTAATGTGGGAGGAAAGCCCGAAGTGATACAGGTCTCAGACGTTTACCACTTCGGTGAAACCCACGAGCACGGGTATGGTGCTGACATACCTAGAAACATAATCGGGGCGAATCGGGATTCGAACCCACAATCATAAGTTTCTGTCGTGCCCAAGGGACGCAACTCTGCACAGCGAATCGCGGCGCCTTAGACGACTGGGACACCCGTGCCCCCATGACAGCTTATAACTTTCATTTGGTAGATTGACTAAATTGTCGGTAAAAAACGTATTAAGTGATATATATGTTAGCTACAAGAAGACATGTTGGTACTCATTACGAATGTTTTTTTTATCACAGGCCCGACTCTGGAATGGGACACAAACACTGCAAAATGCATCATTGACGTATCTGAATGTGTAATCACAAACACACGACCGGCTGTTATTTCTCCGAACACAGGATGTCGGATACGAAATGCCTGATCATGTCTAGCGTCCAGACCTTTGGTGGTCCGAAACAGTCCTGGGCAGCGTTGCATGTATGGAATAAAGTTGCGGTTATCTATAAAGACATTGGTAGGAAGTAATAAACTTATACAAGAGATAGCCCTGACCTCCTCTCCTGAAGATGCTGTCCGGCCGCAACACATTGGACTGAGTGTATATGTTGCAACATGCTCCACCCACAACCAACAGCTGTGTCTTCGGGTAAAGTACAATAAAAAGCTCCTCAATCACATTCCACTCACTGAGAACAGAGTTGGACAGTCTTATGACCTTCAGCTATACTTTCTACTGGATGGAGCTAGTGACAAAATATTAGTTGTTAATGCCATTGACAATTCAGTGTACACCACTGTTACAGATGTAGAATTTGACAGACCGCTGTGGGTTATGATGTATGTTTGTGATCCTACAAAAGCGGTTGTAAGAGGAGAACTGATATCCGGCCACAAAATCCAAGGAACCTTTGCCAACTTTAATCTGTAGAATCTGTAGAACATATTAACATTTTAACAATAGATTTTTGTAAATAAAGTGTTTGAATCTGAATTTCCCACACAGTACTGTCAGTGATCATGAGCACGCGATTTGTTTGGAAATGAGTGAGTGAGTGACAGAGTATGGTTTTAGGCCGCTTTTAGCAATATTCCATCAATATCACGGCGGGGGACACAAGAAATGGGCTTCACACATCGTACCCATGTCGGGAATAGAACCCGGATCATCGGCGGGACGAGCGAACGCTTTAACCACTAGGCTACCCGACCGCCCTGTTTGGAAATGCTGGTAGTGGTGCTGAACGATGTAGGATGTAGACATATGGAGGGCATTTGTCTTTTGTTGGCTCGCACGAACCCATGACTAGCATTTGCATGCATTTTTGTGGCGTGCTATCGGAAGGGCAAGCAACGCTGACATTCATTATTATGCTTCAGGCTGTTGTAAAGGTATTTGTCATTGATAATGATAGACACAACAGCCTAATGTTCTATATGAGGTCACATGTGCACGGGTTATCAACATGATATGTGTGGACTTTGTACATCCAAACCATACCAGTCACATTGATCTGTGCCGCCCACATATATCTGCATCTCCCTTGACTCCTTAGAGAGACCATGCTCGATTGTACATCAAACGTTTTGAAATGTTTACGCCATCAGCAAAGTCACAGATACTGACCACGCAATCCAATTTTTCGCAACGATCAGCAATAGAATCCTATATGTTCGAAGCTAGTTCCCTACATGATTCATACATGGGCGCTGATATCGAGACCTTACACTTGTGAAAGGTATTTGTCATTGATAATGATAGACACAACAGCCTAATGTTCTATATGAGGTCACATGTGCACGGGTTATCAACATGATATGTGTGGACTTTGTACATCCAAACCATACCCTGGGTCCGTGTTCCAGTCACATTGATCTGTGCCGCCCACATATATCTGCATCTCCCTTGACTCATGAAAGCCAATTCGATCGTGTCTATGTCTGTATGTCAGGGTGATGCGACCACAGATCCCTTTTACAGGAAGGTAGGTCCCAAACAAGTTGTAGCGTCAGTGTGTGTTACCACTTGAGACTTAAGGTTTAAAATTAGGAAGGTTTGACGCGCCTTTCAACATGTCCTTTATAATTTGTTTCATTTAACAAATTGAATTTCACACATACACACACACACACACACACACACACACACACACACACACACACACACACATATATATATATATATATATATTTGTTTTTTGCCTAACGCCGCACTCGAGACTGGACCAGACAATCAAGTGATTGACATCATGCGCATCGATCCACACAAATGGGATACGATGACATGTATCAACCAAGTCAGCGAGCCTGACGATCCGATCCCGTTAGTCGCCTCTTACAACAAGCATGGTCGCCTTTTACGGCAAGCACGTGGTACTGAAGACCATTCTACCCCGGATCTACACGGGTTATATATATCAAGGCAATTTTCATTTAAGGTATTGAAAACATTAATAATCATGCTTTCATTAAACTGTACCACCTTAACACGAAAGAAGTTAGCATGAAATCCATCTCTATCATGAACCATCACAATTATTTTCTCTGTACTAATTGATATAATTGGATTGCGTGTTTTCATATAGATAGGGGGCATAATGTAAGAGGACTGTCATACAAATTAATATTGCAACATTCATTATCGAGTTGTGTGTGCTTTTCGCAGGAACAATGTCTGACTCTCTCTCATCGTCACATGTCCAAAGTTATCTCACAGAGTGTCCAGTATGTTCTGAACAATTTGATGATGCCGCGCGCCTTCCCCGCCGTATGTCGTGTTGTGTACAGTGTATCTGTCAGCCATGTTTACAGCAGATCTACAATGAAGAAGACAAGACGTTGCTCTGCCCTGTCAGTCACCACAAGCACGAACTTCATAATGGAGTTACCTCTCTTCCGACTGAGCCTATCACATCGAAGATACTAGACTACCAGAAAATCCAAAGAAATGAGCGGGTGGTATGTACAGATTGCCCAAGCAGCAACGAGGCAATAGCACGTTGTGAAGAATGCTGTGTATTTTTATGCAAGGAATGCAGGATAACCCATGATCAACACAGATTGTCACGACATCACAGAACTCATACATTTGAGGAGATTAAAGGTCAGCCGATCCAGGCCTTGAGACGACTGCACGAATGCGGCCATCACCCACAGCGTCAGGAATACTTCTGCAATACCTGCGAGAAGATCATATGTGTTTCCTGCACTGTAGAGGAGCATCGAGAAGGAGCGGGACACATGTTTGTACCTGTGGATAAAGCACACCAAGAAAAATCAATACATGTTGATAACATGTTAAATCAACTTGACGAAAAGGCTGTAGAACTGAGTCAAACAGAACAAGAATTGTTACACAAAGTCGACAACATGCACGTGTCAGCACTTGCAGCGAGACAGGACATCAACAAATGCTTTGAGAAGATGTTAGAGGAGTTGCAACAAAGGAAAGCAACTCTTTTGTCAGACGTTGAGGAGAGAACCGGCGCTGATGTAAAGCTGACCGAAGAGATCCTCCAGTCAACCAGAGAGCTGCTGGCGAAGGTGAGATCCTCAACAGAGTACATTAGACAGATGAGAAGCATGGCAGATAACATCGAGGATCTTCATCTGATGCTTTCCTCTACACCCTCACTGAATGGCATACTAGCTGAGGAGCCAAAGAAAGTGGAATTTGTAAGCAGGGGAACATCCTTTGTCCCAGCCAATCTGAATAATCTCGCGTCCACTATCAAGGTGACAGGCATGGTCAGGTCTGTCACATACACGCCAACCCAGAGGCCAAAATATGTACCACAGAAGACGATATATAACACCATCACACTGGAGCCAGCTGAGGTACCTGCAGGTCGGTTTCTGAAATAGTTCAAATATTTCAATACCTTTGTGACCCTATCTTAAACTGGTTGTTCGATTCTGTTGTTTTAAGCTTGTTTATTTAATTTGCTGTTATTGCTTTTATGTATATTCCAGCAAAATCATAGCAATATGTACATAACCGACTGAAAATGGTTGGCCTTTTAGCGATATCTCATGCAGTTTTAATGTCCTCTCCCAGCAATCATTGATTACTTGGGACGAATTCTTGTCCCTCAATTCACACTAGAGAACGTCATATATGACCATGGAATTAACTGAACATATGCCATATGTATCCCAATGTCGCAAGTAGTAAGCAGTTCACACACTACGATCACCCGGACCCAAGAAAGTCACTAAACCGTACCTCATTGATCCAATCTAGTCACCGAAGTGGTAAACGTCTGAGACCTGCATCACTTCGGGCTTTCCTCCCACATTAAGCTGTCACGCCGTGATATAACTGGAATATTGTTAAAAGTGGCGTTAAACCCAACTCACTCACTCCCTCACTCCAATCTAGTCACCTCTTACGAAAGGAAATTGAGAGCTGGGGGGCCAGTTCTATGCTGGATCCTTATTAGATATGTATTGTTTAATAGTGGTAAACACCGTGTAACTTTTTTTAGTCTAGTAAGGCTTCAGTAATATGATTTGATATGACAAACGGTAGGCTTGGCATTCATTTTATTCACTCAATCAGTATCTTATTTCAGTGTGTGATGGTGACATGGTTCTATCGAAGGTAGACACAATGGTTACAACATGTAAGTTTAAATATGTTTCTATTCATAACAACGTTTTTATTTCAAATACGAACAGATCATATACACATACCATATGTATAAAAAACAAGTTTGTAATATTAAAGGTACTCCTTGTCACGTCTTAGAAAACCACTATTGTCGAATAACTTCAACTTCAGCTATGACGTCGTTTCTAGAGTGACGTCATTCCGGCCCTATGTCACAATCGAATGACGTAAACAATACTAGTGTGATGTGCACTTGAAAGAAGAGACCAAACTGGGAAAGAAATACATTGCTTCTTACTAAGTAATTAAACCTCATCATGAAAATAAAGTCCCCCTCCTGAGCTAATCAAGTATTAAAAAGAAAAAAACCACAACTGCTAGTATAGCAATTTGTCTCCATTTAACATCCCACCTATTGGGTGCACCTTAGCTTCAGACAATCAGTTACTGTTACAAACATCTTTCTTTAAACTGTCACATCCACTTTGAACAGTGGTTACCGTCAGATAATTATGGAATAATGTGAGGGACATTCTCGCGATCTCGACCTTTGGAAACGAGGTAAATATGCCCAAAACACGAGGATGCGAGATTTGTCCAATCTACCGAACCTTTGACAGTTGCAATTTCTCTGATCTACCGTGAGTAACATAGATATTAAGATTACATACTTTGATCTATTTTCAACAGTGGATTCAAAATGTATCCACATTTGCCATGGACGACCGTGATTTCTGAATATTAGCCATATGTTTCCTACTCCTTTCAAAAGGTACACATCTGGAGTGGGACTCAACCGTTGCTAATCGTGACGTGACTGTAGAAGGGACTACGATCTCTAATGCCAGGCCGGATGTCTCGCCAAATGACACAGGCTGTAGGATACAATCCCAGAGATGTGTCATGGCATCGAAACCTCTGATCATGAAGACTCGTCGCATTGACATGTTCCAGGTGAAGTCTCGATTCAGCCTACGACAGAAGGCAGAAAGGAATACGATGCTATTTGAAACAGCTCTTACCCCTTCACCATTAGATTCCGATTGGAATCAGTTGTTGGGGTTCAGTGTAAGTATTGTTGCATGTCCTAATCACAAAACGAAGCTGTGTGTCTGGGTGAGGTATGGGAAACTTGTCACTGACCTGCCACTCTTCAAGAATGAAGTTGGCATGTCCTGTGAGTTGCACTGGAATTTTCTTCTTGATGGCAACACACAGAAAATACATGTCATTAATGTTGGGGATGGGAACACGTTCAGCACTGTGTCGAATGTTCTACTCAACACGCCACTGTGGGTCTTGATGTACGTTTCTCTACCATCTACATCAGAGATGACAGGGGAACTAATATCAGGCCACAACATTGACAAGAAGGGTCACATGTTTGAACTGTGAGTCAGTTAATATTTATCGTGGCAATACCTTCACGGTATAGCGACGGATTATACGCAGTATATCAAGTCTCATACTGTAACATCTTAAATTGAAATTATTTTATCAGAAAAATTTGATGTTGTGTATAACATATGTTTATATTTATACAAAGTCCAAAACTAAGAGAAACTTATATAGATTACTTCATTGGCATGCGTAGTTCATGCAACCAAACATTGTCTGTATTATGGGCCTATGGCCTTTCTACTGAATATACAGTCTGTCTCTGTCTGTAAAGCCAAAATATTTAGACAAAAATATGAAATGTCTCTCAACAACTTACTATAATACATGTAGGTCTATGTAAAGTCTAAATTACTAACACATGTTCTAATTATTTGTATACTGTACAAATGATGTACTATCTGAATGAGACATGTGAACCATTTGTATAAGGAATTTCGGCACCCTCTAACTAACCAGCGGGGCCACGGGTGGCCCAGTCGTCTGAGGCGCCGCGATTCGCTGTGCAGAGCTGCGTCCCTTGGGCACGCCAGAAACCTATGAGTGTGGGTTCGAATCCCGGTTCACCCCGATTATGTTTCTAGGTTTGTCAGCACCATACCCGTGCTCGTGGGTTCACCGAAGTGGTAAACGTCTGAGACCTGCATCACTTCGGGCTTTCCTCCCACATTAAGCTGACACGCCGTGATATAACTGGAATACTGTTAAAAGCGGCGTTAAACCAAATTCACTCGCTCACTCACTCACTAACTAACCAGCAGCTGTTCGTCATCCATTCAGCAGCAAAACGGAATGGTGTCGCAAAAAGATGTATACTGTAATGAAGAAATAAATGGTCTTTGGTGTGGAAAGTGATCAGCCATTATCCTTAACTACCTCTACTGTGTAACTCTGTTTCTAATTGTATTGCTTTCAGACATCTATATTTTGCAAAATGGTACCAATATATAAATTGCATTGGTGTTTTGTTAGTGTACCATATGCCATGATGTGATTTGTGTTGGAGACTTATGTTTGCTCTTCTGTCAGCAGCTGTACAATGAACACCAGTTGTTTAACCATACTTATCCAGTGGAGGATTTGATCATGATCGAGTTCAAATTATCTCAACAAATAACCCATACTATTGTGCACCCACTGGAATCTGTTTTGTTGGATAATCGAGACTGGTTATTAGAGGATATATGTATCTATTTACTTTTCAACATGGATGAGGATGTGCGAATTTCATAGCTTTGATTCCATGATAGTTTTGAATGATTATTGTATTTTAGTAATTAATATATTGTTCTTGAATATGTATGCATGTTCTATAGCAGCACCCATGATGTTATTCTGTTCTTCGCGGGTGGTTGGAGCATATAATGCACAAACCTCTCACTTTTGTACGTGATTCGTTATGTTTTGAAATATGAATACATCTATAAAGTTCCAAGGCTGTTAAAACTGTATGAAAAGAGGTGACGGAAATACACTATCTGTGCAATATTGAATTTGTTGCTGAAATGTTCTGTGAACCTCCTTTTATACAAGTAGCAGTATTTAAACCAACTGAATCCATGGTTTAATTTAGCTTTTAAAAGAAACCACAGGCTGGAACATATCGCAGAGGGATTCCGTGACTGACTGTTCTGTCATCTCGTTCAAACTCCTTGCGTGACAAATATATACAAGTCATCCTATTTCACGTACGCTTGGTGGAGAATGCATATTTCTTAGATATAATTAATTATCTTATGTTTGTTTGTTGTTTAACGCCGCACTCAGCAATGTTCCAGCTATATTATGGAGGTCTGTAAATAATCGTGTCTAGACCAGACGATCCAGTGACTGACATCATGAGCATCGATAAACGCAATTGGGAAACGAAGACATGAATCAACCACGTCACCGAGTCATACTACCCGATCCCGCTAGTCACCTCTTACGACAAGCATGGGTTGCTGAAGATCAGTTCTAACCCGGACCTTGGTCATCACAAGGTGTACACTAACACTACCTGTAAACTTATCAGCGATGGACAGTATAATTACCAAAGTTATCACAGAGGTATTAACAATAGTATCATTGTGTTTAAATGTAATGAATACTTACCTCAGAGAAAAACTCGACGTCTTGTTGCGGAGGTCTTCATTCACATTGTTTGTATGCTCTCTGTATCAAATGATTTGACATCCTTTGATACCGAGTTTGAGTTCATTTTGTTTTGTTGCTGAAATAACCCACAAAACAGGCACATGCTAGTTCTGTACCATTGTGGTGTTACTCACGAGGGTGTTATTATTTGCGCTACGTAGTAACTTTGGTCTGCTCCCTGGAGTGTAAAAGTTGTCAGTGCTGTGCAAAATAGTATGTAGCAGTAAACGTTATAGTTATTATTTGAATGTACAGTATAAAAGCGGGCTAGAGATCACCTGCAACCAATGTTAGGCCACCATACTAGGGATCAAGAGTTACAGTACCATCAGGATTTACACCATTCCTTTAGGTACTGGCTATTGTTACAAAGATAAGTCTAAAGTATAATAAAAAAAGTTAACTGCGTTTATCACTGTTCCCCGCCTAGGGGAACATTAAAATGATGTTTCGTCATATATAGTGAATATAAACTATATACAAAGAACAGAATAAAGCCTTAATACAGTCTTGATAATTATCTCTTAGATAAGCTTGCAATGTAACATCAGTAGTTTCGTAGAAACATGTCCCTATTACAGACACTTTATACTGTGTTGGAGGGCATAGAGCAAGGGCCATAACACTAAAAAATAATTTACGGCAACAATTTTCGAACTCAGTTTTGACAAGTATCACTCAGATGAGCATGCTAAATGTCGTTCATGTAACGTAGGTAGTTTCTGAGACAGGTAGTCAGTGGGGACGCGTTTTCTCAGAAACTGCTGATGAATGAAACTTTGTATGCTCACCTATGAGATACTTGTCAAGACTGTGTTCCATAATAGGCGCCGTAAATTATTTTTTTTATTATTACATTTTGTAAAGATTTTAAGCATACATAGTTACAGCCCTTGATCGATGTTATTTTACAAGCGCATAATGTCTGTACATGGGTCACATTTTCTCTGGAGCTACTGACGCTAGCTGATCTAAGAGATACTTATCAAAACTTAGTTCGAGAATTGGCGCCATAAATCATGTTTTTCAGAGAAGGGTCTTTTTGTGTATTTATTTCACATTTAATAAAAATATTTCTGATGATATAAAGTGACCCCAGTGCCATCTCTTCTTAAGGCTTTATAGGACTCTTTTTTATAGTTTATATTCACTACTTTATGAACAAACAAAATTCTTATGTGCCCTAAGGCGGGGGATAATGGTAGTGCTGTTTTCTTGTTGGGTCTTAGTTCTTGAAATATTTGCATGCAATTGCGACATTTCTGTATGCGTTTTAAGTTGAGTTTGGGGTCTTCAACAGTTTTCTGGAATGTGCTGCATATGTCGCATCGCACCTGTGTCAGTGAGGACAGACACACAATGCCCAAGTGAAGGATATTTCCTTGACGATTGTTAGAGAGGTTGCTCTTGCATATATTTGACACGTTAAAATATATTAAATTCAACCAGGTTGTTTGTGTTATTTTCACATTAATTGTCACCATTACTGTGTCGATTACACCAAATGGAGTCTGTTTTGGCAGATAATTATTCTCTGACGTCGACGTTTTTAATTTTCACAAAAACACATTTCTAATCGCGACATTAAAATCCGATGTACCTCACATCCGCTGTGGATATATATTGGCGTGTTATGAAATGAAATGTGTTGTAATGACCGTTAAGCAACACACAGTAAGCACGACTCGGGATTGGAAAGTTGATAGAATGCATAAGACATTCTCAAGAATGTACACTTGGTGTAAAAGGGGCTCTTACGAAGTACAGTAAACTACTTTATAACGAACTGACGGACATAACGAACTTATTATTAGTCCCGGTCATTTGTTGTATATATGCTGTATGTATGCTTATAACGAACTACGGTTATTACGAACTGTACTTAGTGGTCCCCTCGAGTTCGTTATGACCGTAGTCTACTGTAATATGTCGTTTGATGGTTGCGGAGAGTTCTCTATAAGTGATACTCGGAACCTATATTATGCTACAAGGCTTGTATTACAACAATGCGAGAGTCAGTAATTCTCTATTTATTGTGTCTATGCTCAATGTTCTTCGACAAAATTTGGTAGATATATCAAACAGATCCTGAAGTGGTTATTTTTGTTTTTTTATATATTTTTGGCATTTTGATGATTTAAACCATATCTATTTCCAAGAAAAAGAAATCAGATCAGTGAATAGGTTCAAGCTATTTACACACCTCTCCCTATAGAGGGCATTTAACAATAGCTGAGAGTAAACTGTACATAAAATAAAAAAATTCAATGAAATGTACCTACTGTTGCGAATATTAGGATGCGAATATACAAGTAACACACAAATACACACATACACATTTGGCTACATAAACAAACAGCATGTCAGCATATCACACATACTAACAACTATTAATTTTGATTGATGACATTTTTATGTTTCTCGATTCCCATGGAAACAATTTTTATTGAGTCTTATGAGGGGGTGTATTTTGTTTCCGGGGCACAACTCAAAAACATTTAACATCTTTCATCAAAACTCGGCACATATATCAAACAGATCCTGAAGTGGTGCCTTCTGCTATTTAGGAATTTTTCACAAATTGATTTTTCCCTGTTTTATGGAAACAAGTTAGACTTAGGTCTTTGAAAGGCATTTAGAAGTGATACACATATTGCTTTGATCTTTGTCAGTGTTAATAACCTAGCTGGCTTCAATTTGCCCCTTGCTATGTCCATTCTTTCACCTAGCAGTGCTAATTACTCCCGGTCTCCCGTTTGCCCAGTGTCCATAACCTATTACTTATCTATGATAACTTATGTACTGGTATCCATACCATCAGCGCTAACTACTGTAAAGTGTTGGCTTCCATTGTCTAGTGCTAATCACCCATCAGCGCCAATCATCTGTTGGCTTACCTTGTTAGTTTCTACTCTTTGTTATTTTCCACCTTTTGTTATGTTATTAATTTTGCTGTCCTCACATGTACATATATGTATGTATGTACATATATATATATATATATATATATATATATATATATATATATATATATATATATATATATATATATATATATGCTCTCGGAGCCCCACCCTCTTCAAAATAATGATAAACGATCTATTCGAGGGCCTATCTCCTAAAGTGAACACATCAGAATTCGCGGATGATGGAGCCATCTGGATCCGCACTAAAAGCATGAAAATGGCCCAGAATTTACTCCAAAAATCTCTTAATAAAATACATTAATGGGCTGACAAATGGGGCTTCTCCCTTAACTCAGAATAAAACAACAGGAATAGTATTCAAACATAAAAACATGAAACCCGCCTCCCCAATTCTCCAGCTAAACAATCAAACAATCAAATTTAAAAAACAAACCAAATTCTTCGGACTTATTTTCGATGAACATCTCACCTGGGATGCTCACATCCAAAACCTAACAAC